CCTTGCAGATCGTGACCGATGACCAGGTCGGGGTCCAATTTCCAAAACTGAACCATAAAGAAGTTTAAAAGTTCTCGTTCTGTGTCACATTTAGTTAATTTTGTCGCTTTGTACTGAGGTAGCTTTTGTTTGAGATCAATTGGCCATAACTCATTGCATTTTGTCATTACTGTAAAGAAACAAATTATTTATCAATAACGCTTTGTCCAGATAGGAGAATAGAGATCTGGCTAAAATGGACAAAATCAAAAAAAAATATGAATCTAAAGCTGTTATTGAGAAATATCTATTGTTGTTAACCTATAACTGAGTAATTCTTTTTTTTTTTAGAATTTAAAAAAATATGTAAGTTTCGTAGGAATATATATAAAACATAAAGTGGAATAGAATATCGTAGATTATAAAGTAATCAATTGTACAATCAGGATTATTTAATTTTCACAAAAATACATACACTATCTTTACTGTACTAAGCCCATACAATATTATTTTTAATAAAATACTGCTGCTGTGAGCTCACTCTGTCAACATATAAAAATATTGATTTTGTCGAAGACAGCATGACAGTACATAAATTTAGATCATTTTTGAATAACTATTTTAAAGAAAAACTTACCACAAAAATGTTGTTGAAATGGTGGATTAGGGGGTGGCCTGTGAATTGGAAAGCTGCTGTGCGATAAACAGCTTATCATTAAGATTTTAGTTTTATTTGTTTTTGCATCAGTCACTGTTCTCATATTTATCTAAAATGATATTTTACACAATCAAGAAAAACATATATTTTTTTATACACATCAAGGTCTTGTTATCCAAAATATATTTTGTACAACAAAATATCTTAGCCCGGTTAGAAAAGAAAATAAATAATAGATTTTAAAGATACAAAATAAATTTGATCCATATTAAAAAATGTGGCCTAACGTCCGAGTCATTTGGCAAACACATTTTTGCCTACTCTATAGATCTTTTTTTTCAGCTCAGCCTTCTGTGTATAACAAGTCAAAAAAATATTGTGTCCCCTGGAATCGAACCCAGGAGGATACACAATTCAAGTTGAGAGAGTTGAAATCCTTAAGAAGAGTAAGTTTAACTAAGATACTTTTCCATCATAAAAATTGCTTGAATATCATAGACAAGTTTATCAAAGATAACATCAGAGATTATAATATAAAATAAATAAATTATATTTAAGATCTGAAATAAAAGTGAATTTAGATTTTCGGGTTCAAATCCGACAGAAACATTTTCTAGAATTACAAAATTGGTTTAACTTTTTTAAATGTACAGACAAAAGAGTATAATGCCCAAACAGGTGTACTTACAGCCGCAATAATAATAGGAGGAGGTTCCAAATCTTCGCCACTCCTAATAACATTAATATTTTCCATATTATCACAACTTGCTTCCAGTTTGCATAATGACACCTTTGCCCCGACACTCTCAGCTTCAACAACTTCAAGCCAACAAGGTCCTTTCATCTTCCTTTCAAGAAGAAACATCTCTAGCGATGATGTGTTTGCTCCAAATATATGAGAGAATGTAAGATATTTCTTGTTAGGCGGCGGTGGAATGGAAGCCTGAAAATATTGTAATTAATAAAGATATACGTCATATTATATACGTCAATATATTATTAAAGTAAAAAGCTCTATAACAGTTATTATTTACATAACTAACCTCAAAAATAGAAAGGTCAAGTAATGTTAATTAAATCTTATTTATATTAAAAACAGTTAATCATTATCTCACCATATACTTGACTTCGAGATAGTCGCACTGTGCAGGCACATCTGGTATGTTAAAACAATAATTCTTAGTAATCTTTCTTGACTTAAACTCTTTTATACCCAACTCAGTCGCCACAGAAGTGTTAAACTCTTGGTACATATCCATTATACCAACCTCCTCATCTGTAGGCTCTAGTGTCACTGGGTCTAATTTCTGAAACATATAAATATACTTATTAGACATATACTTTTTTATTAGTTTAACTTTTACAAAGGCAGAATATAAAATAAATATATACTGTATAATAAGGTTTTAGTTCATGAAGCTTTACTAATGGTGAGTTAATCATACTGAAACTACAGAGATAATTTAAATTAATGAAGTTATCGCGATAAATAACTCCTATGAAAATTAATATAGTAGATAGTGAAAAGAAATATACGTAATTTGTGAACGACTTACATATTCTCTAGGCAGCAGGTACATTTGACGGTTTATATTCTTTACAACTAAACAGCATGAGACACAACCGGCTTTCTTATTAGTAGGATTCACATACACTTTACCAAACAAGTACACCACACCTGGTTTAACAAATTTATCCTCCCAGGCATCTAACCAATAAAACCTGAGCACCTTTTTCCCATCTTTATTACTTTGAAGAGGCAATTTACCATCCGACTGTATGGAAACAACATTGTTATCACCAACTTGTTCATTCCATGATGTATGCAACGGTTTCAATTCTTTAGGTGACTGCTTCTTAACTGGGAATATATCAAAATTCTCATTGAGAAATTCTTCAGCTACATCAGTGATAGTATTAGATGAACTTGGTATTTCCTCTTTTATGTTAACAGCAGATATAGCGTCATTACTGAAATCATCACCCAAATCAATGTCTTGTGTTTGAAATTCCTCTATATTTTGCATTTGTGAATCTTCAAGTTCTTTTTTAATTTCTTTATCTATTTTCCAAGTACTTTTTTTTGGTGACTGTCCATTTAATTCTAGCACAGGTTTTTCCTGCAATATCAACAACAATTAAAAATCTAATAGAGTCTAGACTAAATATATAAAACAAATATTATGATATTATATAGTTTAGGATTACTCTAAATCTTTAAAAAATCTCCATAAGTGTTGACTTATAATACCTCTTTCAACTTACAATTTCCTGTTTAACATTAGGTGGATCATTGAGTACTATTGTAGGTTTAGATTTTTTTACTGCAGAAGTTAATGACTTAAAATAATTATGTGCATCCTTTTTGCTGGAATCAATACTACTCAATTTGTTTACTTGGGCTTTGGGTTTTACTGTTGCTGCAGCAGTGCCATCTAAATCAGACATAATATCTGACAATATATTGTCATCAGATATTTTTACATCCTGAAAAATTAAACTTTTGATAAAAAAAATACAATTATTGTTCACAAATAAACAATTCTTATGTATATAATAATCGTCATGAATATAATAGAGAGAATGAATATCATAAAGCATTTAATACTCTGTCATGACTAATTTAAATATTTCATTATTGTTAAGAACCTCAGATGCAGAACCAACACAGAATCATTTAGGTTCTATAGCTAATTTGACAAAATCAAAATAGATGTTGATAAAGAATTGGATCACCTCCTCCAGCAGGATCAAAAAATGATGTATTTAAATTTCGATCTGTTAAAAGTATTGTAATTGCACCTGCAAGAACTGGTAAAGAAAGGAGTAAAAGTAAAGCAGTAATTCCTACTGATCATACAAATAATGGTATTTGATCAAAAGATATATTTCTAATACGTATATTAATAATAGTTGTAATAAAATTAATTGCTCCTAAAATTGAAGAAATTCCAGCTAAATGTAAAGAAAAAATGGCTAACCACAAACTTCTTTTACCTCTTTTTTCTTTGCTGGCATAGCCCCTAAAAGATTCTTAATATTTCCTTTTCCTATAGGTGGAGCAACTTTAGCCTTTCTCTTAACACCTCTACCACTCTCTTTGCTGTCAGGCATAGCATACGAATCGTCAATTTCATCATCATCAAATATTTCACGCCCATCCTCAACATAGCCGGTACCATCTAAAATATGAATGATTAAGGAAATTTTGTATAATATAAACACGTGTATAGAAAGTAGACTAAAACTATACCGTCTTCAATCCAATCTTCCTCTTGTCTTTGTAACACGCGATCACTATACTCTTTTTCATCCACAGTATCATACACATTCTCTAACTCATCTACATCGTATTTATTCTTAGATCCTTTTCCCTTTAATTGTTTAAGTTTTTCAAAAGCAGATAAGCGACCATGTTTATCAACTTTTTGCCGTTTAGCTCTTTGACCAGCTGTAAAGAAACAATACGTGATGTTAGTCTCATTAATATCAAAGTTGAAACAACAGCAATGAATTTAACATATATTTACCAACAGAGTCTCCCATGTTAATAAGTTGTATACATTAATTTCGATATAAAACATACATTTTACAATTAAATGTATCACTGCAAGAAATTGCAAAACAAAGTTTATATTTTGTCGTTGACATTGCAAACTGGCGCCAAAATTGACATTACTACACAGATTTAGTAGAGGTATAAACATTACTAATGCCAGTGATAAATGTACAGATGTACTAAGATTAGGCTATATGCCAAGATTTCAAATTTCAAAACCATTTCTTTGTTGAAGAGCTGAGAAAACGATTGTTTTTAAAATAATCTGTAAGACAATTTTTATAACATTTTTTGTTTTATGGCATTTTAGTGGAAAAAAATATTGAGAAGTTAGACTTAAATTGGCATTTTTTTAATTCATTTTTTAATTATTAATCACGAAAAAAACGGTACACTTCTTCATAATGCATAATTATGGGGGTTAAAATTATAATAAATAAGGGTGAGTTCTATCACCTAACGGAAGTACTTTGAATTACCAATAAACCTGTATAAACGATTTTCTATTTGACTATTCAGTCCATACCATTGTACCGTTACCTTTACTTAACATGTGGCCTGCCTTTAGTATAGTGCTATTAAGTAATCTGTGTTGCATAATATTTATTGTCTTGATCTGTGGCTTAAAAAAAAACAAACTAGCTCATTGGTTTCGTTTACGCGCCAAAACGTTTATTTTATTAATTTGTTTTGTTTGGTCAGTAGACACTAGACAGTAAGCACTAAGCAGTATCTGCATTTATTTTAGATTAATAATTTAGTGAGTTTTTACGTGATAGAATTAACAGATATCGAAATTCAATTATGGCTATGCGAGATTATACTGCCGATAGAGGTAAATCGTGGTGTAACCAGTTAAAACATAACTAACTTTTACCGTTTAACAAAAATAGGTACTTTATGTTTCAGAGTCATTTAAAAATTTCTTTATTGACTTTTGCCAGACAGACGAAGATGGAGCAAAGTTTTTTAAATACTCTGAGCAGCTTACCAAAGTTGCACATAGGGAACAGGTAATGTTAAGTAATTGAGGTTATGATAGTTTTTGTTTGAATTGTTTATTTATATTTTTGTTTGTTGTAGACTGCCTTTGTGGTTGACTTGGATGATTTACACGAGATGAATGAAGAGTTATGTGTAGCTGTGCTCAAAAATACGAGACGATATACTAACATGGTATCTGATGTCGTTTATGAAATGCTACCTGAATACAAACACAGAGAGGTTACACATTTTCATTAAGTAATTTTTTCACCTTTCAAAAGTACTGTTTAACAAAAAATGCAGTAAAGGTTTTGCATAACTATATATTAATATTTTTATTTTAAGCAATTTTTTTATATTATTATATGTTTTAGGTTGACGCTAAAGATGCATTAGATGTATATATTGAGCATAGAATTATGTTAGAATCAAGAAGCCATAGGATTCCAGGAGAAATGAGAGACCCTAGAAACAGATACCCCCCTGAACTTATTAGACGATTGTAAGTGTATGATAATATTAAGCAATTGATAATAAATACACATAGAAATTATGCACGAAGATGCACCACTCTATGTTGTAAAGACTACAAAGGTCATCCTGATTTGATCCTTATTTATATGAAATCCTATCTTTAGTAATTTTTTTTACTGTAAAAAATTAACTAAAATTTTTTTTGTAGTGAAGTGTATTTCAAAGATGTAACAACATCAAAATCAGTGCCCATCAGAGACGTAAAAGCTGAACACATTGGAAAACTAGTTACAGTCAGAGGTGAGTTGCACTTATTCCTTGGTATTAAAGTATATTTGGTATAAAAGAGTAGCATGTGTATTGTGTACATTATATCACACAATATTTTTATAATTTCCTTTGTCTAGGTATAATATTTAGACTTTTAAAATAAATTTAGTTGCATTTCCCAGGAATAGTAACCCGTTGTACCGAAGTAAAGCCACTACTTATAGTAGCTACATACTCCTGCAGTGCTTGTGGAGCTGAGACATATCAACCAGTCCGCTCCCTACAGTTTACTCCGCCACCTGCCTGTACAGCAGATGAGTGTCGTGTTAATAAGACTGCTGGACAATTACACTTACAGACACGCGGTTCACGGTTCCAGAAGTTCCAAGAGATTAAGATACAGGAGCATGTGAGTGCATACTTTTTAAACTGCTACTTTTGGCTTTAGCATGTGACCCTGAACCCGGGTTGACTGCACCAATGGTTTATTTTCTATATGCGTAATGAACATTTGCTCCTACAGTGAAGCTAGTGATTTCGCAGTTAATATATTTGCCCTTTTTCAGTCCGACCAAGTGCCAGTAGGTCACATACCTCGTCAATTATCAGTGTACTGTCGCGGTGAGACCACGCGTCGCGCTCAACCAGGGGACCATGTAGCAGTCACTGGGATATTCCTGCCGCTGCTCAATTCTGGCTTCAGGCAAATGGTCCAAGGGCTGCTATCTGATACCTATTTAGAGGCGCATGTAAGTTTTTATAATATGACTAACATGCTTATAAAATTACTGTCTTATTCAGAAAGTTTAAAATTTTTTAATATTAGTTTATTGCAAATTATGTTAATGATATGTATATGGATTTTCCTTAAGGTTGTAGTAACAAATAACAACATCAATTGACAAAAAGATAAAAATGACAAAATTACTTGAGAGCGTAGTAAAATATAATATCAAAATTATAATATTAATTATGTTTTGAGTTTAGTGATACTTGTATGATAATATGATATTTCATTAACAATTAACCGGCCAATTCTTATAATAAAAGTTATTCGAAAATAAAAATTGTTATTTTATATCAAACTACAATAAAATCTATATTAAATCTTATTTGGAATTTATAGCTTTTTATTCCGAAGAAATCACTCGCTTTTCAACATTAGTTTTTTATTTTATTTTATGGCAATAGTGCAACATTAATTATACAATCACCCTTTTTATTAGGATTTTATGGCTAGAGTAAAATTATAAACTCACAGTAATTTTTATATTGTTTCATTATTGATGTCTCCAAATAGAATGCTTATATTACAACTATTTAATTCTTTACTATACTTATTTTAGTAACTCAATTAATTATATTTTACAATTAAGAATAAATGTGAAAGTGCCGCTACAACCCTATTTGGGTCTTGGCTGCAATCTGCGGCTGCCTGATCTGATCTGTAGGGCATGATCCGTTTCTTTGATCATTTTAATATCATAGACAAGATCGGCCGGCCTTCTGTCTGACACATGTTGTCAATTTTCCTCACGAAGTTTTCCTTCACCGTACGAGCGATATTAGATTCGCACAGCAAAGTCTTTGGTGCACAACCTGCGTTCGAACCTATATCCACGGAGATGAGGTCCGCCTCATGGCTCCAACAACCAAAATCATAGATTTCATTTGATTGTATAAAATGTGTCTTAGTTCTCGCCCATTACGGTACAGTAAAAACTTCGATCGCTTACATTGATGAATATTTAAGGGTGTAACATGTCTAAACCAAGCCGACGAAAGCGAACTGGCAGAAGCTTTAACCGAGGAGGAGTTAGCGGAGTTGGCGGAAGACGATCTCTATTCTCGTATGGCAAAAAGTCTTGCGCCAGAAATATATGGCCACGAAGATGTTAAAAAGGCTTTGTTGCTGTTGCTGGTTGGGGGTGTTGATAGGTAAGGTTCTGTTATTGAGTTTTATGTTACGATGTTGCCATTTTTTATTTTATTTTGTCACTACATTTTTAGTATATTAAATATATTGATGTTATATTTGTATGATAAATATTGTCAAAATTGCGTCATACATACCAAATAAATTATTTTGTTTAAAACAATTGATTACAAACCCAACAAACATCTTGGGTCTACATCGTATATCACAATGGGTTAATGGTAAACGCATCTACATTATATCGTGGGTTTGAATCAGGTGGAATTATTGTATTATCAAAACACATATAGGCTTGTCCAAGAAGAAAACTTAACTAAAATATATATTGATATTCTACAGACGTCCAAACGGTATGAAAATTCGTGGTAACATTAACATTTGTCTCATGGGAGACCCTGGAGTTGCCAAGTCGCAGCTCCTCAACTACATAGATCGTCTGGCTCCCCGCTCCCAGTATACCACTGGCAGAGGGTCTTCTGGAGTCGGTCTTACCGCTGCCGTTTTAAAGGTAAACACTGAAAATCCTGGTACATTAATAAATATATTAATTTATTGAATAAAAAAATATTATATTCATTTATTAAGGGTCTGGGTCTATTCTGGGTCCCTGGAGAGTTGAGTTCTATTCTCAGGGAAATTATAAATTGATTATTAAGACTTATGATAATAGAACACACTATTCTAGTGCATACAAAATAAGTAAATTTTTGAAGTGAAAACTTCTTTAGCGGCGTTGTACACTTTTTTTGGAATGGGTAAAAAATGTTAAACTCGCGTCAGGACTTGACCTGATCGAAAATTCGAAAGACGGATGGAGAGTAGACAGCTGGCGCGGCGTATTTAATGTAATATAAATTGTCATGTTTGTGTACGATAGCGCAACAAATAAATATTGTATTCTACTACATAAATTATAGTACTTTTATACTGATAATTAAAGCAATTCGTGCAAAATTATTCCCTAACCATTCCAAAATATCAAAAATGCACAACGTTAATATTCAAGTTTTCACTTCTGCCGGCACTCGCGGAGTGCCCGTCGTTTTTTTAAATTATATTACTACATACTACTATTATTATATTGTTACTTCTACGTCATTTAAAATGTTTATTTAAATAACGTAAAATATAATATCTTACAGGATCCCTTCACAGGTGAAATGATGTTGGAGGGTGGGGCATTAGTGTTAGCGGACCAAGGCGTGTGCTGTATCGATGAATTTGACAAAATGGCGGACAGCGACCGAACCGCTATACATGAGGTCATGGAACAGCAGACCATCAGTATTGCTAAGGTAATATTGCACAACTGACCCGCCAATTTAAGTGCTTTGCATGGTCACGAGTTAGTCATATCACCTTCAAATTTTTTTTATTTTAATTAAAGTTAAATTTTATAATAAAAACATCACTGGCGCTAGGTTTCAGATTTCTGTATCTGTTTCGTGATAATATTTTTTATTAATAGGCAAGTAGGTGATCAACCCTCTGTGCCTGACACACGCCGTCAGCTTGTCGAAGCCTGTTTCCTCACGATGTTACCTGTTATTCCCTCACCGTAATTGCGCATATTGAAAAGATATTTTTTTTAATATGACATTACCCATACGAACTTCAACATCGATTTATAAGACGTTATCACGTCAAAAACTAATTTACTAGTAAATTGTGAAATTTCAGGCTGGTATAATGACCTGTTTAAACGCCCGAGTGTCGATCCTTGCGGCCGCCAACCCCGCATATGGACGGTACAACCCAAAGCGCACCATCGAACAAAACATACAACTGCCCGCAGCTTTGCTCTCCAGATTCGATCTCCTATGGCTTATACAGGATAAACCTAATAGGTATTTTTTTAATATAAAATTTAAATTTTATAATGTTTTATATGAAGTTATAAATTTGTTTTTCGTCGACACATGAACTATAAACTTTCATTTAAATTATATTTATACATATGTATTTACAATTTTAAAAGAATAGAAAGACGTAATTTTACTAAATTGAGTATTGAAAATCGGCCTTCTGACCCAGCAAAAAACTGAAGTACCAAAGTCAAAATGTTTTAAATTTGATCGAAATTGTTAGTAAGCTATGTGAAATGGAATGTCATGTGATGTGGCTGATAATTTTACTTTCATTCGAATTGTCTCGCATACATAGTGAGAAGAGATTTAAAAGAACAAAACTTTTGAATTAGAGCATTAGTTTGAGTGCACGTTAGTCTTAAATGCTAAACAGAAGTCAAAAAATAAAAGAAGAACAAGAGTCTTCCCTTTTAATAGATACTGTAAGAAGTGTTATTGGACACTTATGTTAAATATCCTTTTAAGTAAAATAGGTTAAATTTAAATTACTTATTAGTCTTAAGTTTAGCCTAACTCAGCCTAACTGAGACATCATAGAAATCGTAATTTCTATTTTAATTTTTTTCTGCCGTACTTGCATAAAATATATAAGTTAATTTCGTTAACGAAGTAAACACAATACAAAATCTATAGTTAAAATACTGTTTTGTAAATTTATGAAGTATTTTGTGTATTATGTAGTATATGATTAGAACGACGCGACTGTTTTTTCTTTAAGTTTAAAATAAATGATCTGCATTGGTGTCTTGCAACGGTTTTGAGATGAGTCTACTATGAGAAAACTCGGCCCTGTTTTACATCATTTGCTCTTCATCTAACTAAATTATAGACTATAGACACGTATTATTAATAGAAAGGTATTGCTTGAAAAAAATAGATATTTATCCACAACGAAGATAAAAATTTTTGTTCAAATATAAATTAATAATCTAGAATTTTTAGTACGTAGTATAAATATTGTGTTGATTTAATTCCCAGAGACAAGGACTTAGAGCTAGCCAAGCACATAGCGTACGTGCACCAGCACTCCTGTCAGCCGCCGACTGAAATACGCGCTCTGTCGATGCGACTCGTCCGTCGGTACATTGCTCTCACTAAACGGAAACAGCCAACTGTGCCTACCCACCTCACTGATTATATTGTTTGTAAGTATAAAAAACATGTTTTTTTTAATATTCATAGGGAGCGTTCAAGTATTACGTCACGTATATTAACAATAACGCGTAATTTAATCCCCGCGCCGCATCGTAGCGTTTTACAAAAGGACCCCCCCTGATATATTAAGTAATAATAGGCGACAGCTGACAGTAACTTCATTGCTCCGACATTTTGAAATAATAAAAAACTGCATGTATATAATTTGATTAAGAGCAAAATGCATTTAAAAAAACATTTGTTTAGTAAAAGAATATAAAATTTCAGCGTCGTACGTCGAGTTACGTCGCGAGGCACGTAACAGCCGTGACGTCACGTTTACGTCAGCGAGGAACCTCCTAGCGATACTGCGATTATCTACCGCACTTGCAAGACTTAGGTAATGTTTTATTATTAAAAAATATGAATGGTTTTAGGTTATATTGACGCTCTATAGACATCAAGATGTAGAGTTCTGCTGGATTTATTATTATTATGGACATTTTCATTAAAAAATAAAAAAATATTTAAATTTATAGATAAAACAGTCTCACCGGAATAAGGCTGGTGTTTAGCAGTTTTCTAGTAGAAAACGGTGTCGAGGATAGGTGCTCTTTCTTTTCGACCAGTTTACAGACTGATTAACGGCCCCACTGGCTAAGGTGAAGGATATATCTTCAGCGGCTGGAATAATTTCGTTAACGCGTGTGACGTATGACGTCATCGCAATGATTGTGGCCGTAGAACGTAGATGTCAGTCTTTATACAACAATATAAAGTACAGCCTTGCGATTCTGTAACTCAATTTTCGAACTCTCAGTTATTTTACGATTTGGCATTCTAATAAGGAGGGTTTTAGTTTATTGTTTATCAGAATGCCAAATCGTAAAATAACTGCTTTACGACTGATTTGAGCGCGACCGCCGCTGCGAAAACCGCTGTGAGAGTTCGAAAAGTGAGTTACAGAATCGCAAGGCAGGTCTTTATACAAAAGTATAAAGTACAGGGTGATTAGATACAGATGACCTTTTCGATTGCAAATTTTTTAAATGTTCTGATCGCGATCTAATGACACGTGATAAGTACCGTTTGCAAGAAAAGAAGTCGCACACAAAGTAAGCGTTATTACTCTACAGATTTTTAATAAGTTATTGTGAGGTATAACGTCACTATGATGTAAATTCTTTTTGATTCGTATTGTATAAAGAAATGATGGAGGAATGTTTTTCGGTAGATTATCAGACATGGTTGAGAAGGAGGACGTGTCGGAAGCAATTCGTCTCGTGGACATGTCCAAGCAGTCTCTCACTCATGTTGAAGATAATGTGCAAAGGTATAAATATATCATCATCATCATATTAAAATATATATACAACTAGCTGATCCGGCAAACGTCATTTTGCCATGTATATCATTTATAATAAAAAATAGGGGTTGATCGTAGAGGGGTGAAAATTAGGGGTTGTATATATTTTTTAATGCTGTATCATAAAAAAATAAAAAATAAATAATTTATCTAAAAATTAAAAAAAAAATTTAGGGGTAGACTACCCTTAACATTTAGGGGGATGAAAAATAGACGTTGTCCGATTCTCAGACATACCCAATAAGCACACAAAATTTCATGAGAATCGGTCAAGCCGTTTCGGAGGAGTTTAACTACAAACACCGCGACACGAGAATTTTATATATTAGATATAAAAGGTCTTTATCTGTGTAATTAAATATTCTTTAACTGATTTAATTATCCATGGAAGTATTTATTATATTCAAGTATTACGTCACGAAATTTTTCGAAACGTTTCACTTCAAAAATGATAACTAGAATCTCAACCTAAGCTGTAATAAATAAAAGTATCAATAATATATACATATTTATTCATATTTTCGTTATTAAAAGTTTAGCAAAAATTGAGTAAATTAAAAGACCTCTTACATGTCCGTGTCGCGCGACGCTTAAAGCGAAATCAAAGAGACCTTTGACGAGATCAGCATGGGATAGATTAAAAAAGAAAAATATTTGATTTTTGCCTACACCATATTCTTGCAAACAAATTATTATAACATCAGAAAATGCTTAGTCATAGTTACATATAGTTTACAGTAATTGAAACTTTAAAAACAGGGGTATAAGTGCAACGGATCGTATCTTCGCCGTAGTTCGTGAACTTGCCGGTTCCAATAATACTGTGAAGGTAGCCGACGTCATAGAACGCTGTGTTGACAAGGGATTCAAGCCAGATCAGGTGAGAATTTATTTAAAAAGTTTAAAAAAAAATACAATAAGTGTGTCCCGATAATACATACATAAAACGCTCGTGTCGTTCCTACAAACGTATCGTCATAGTCGAAGAATAGTGACGGATCTGACAAATAGTAAACTTTACAGGGCTGCCATTTCAATAAAATAATCATGTTAGTTTTTGTTATAACAATTTTACTTCATATTCTGTTATGAAAATTGGCATACAAGCAAACAAAAAGGTTTGTTTTGAAACAAAATAAAAATTATAACATTAAATTACACAGTTTTCTAGAAAAATCACAAGCTTCTGTCAAATCCGTCACTTTACCGACTGATTAATTTGAAATTTAAAACATGGATTTTTTTCAAATCCGACATTGTTCTACGATCATGACGGTATACTTGACTAACATACGACTTGACTAGACTTTTTGGAATCTAAGCTTTTATTTTATGGAATATTTTTGTTTAGTACTTGAAGCTAACATATTTTTTTTAATCAAACGCTGAACAAAAAGATTGAACACGATACTGGCAATTGATCTCAAAGCCCTTTATTTGATATTTTTTGTATAGTAGTTGCTGGTTTTTACGCGATGTTTTTTCTTCACTGTATGAGCAAGTATTAATAAATAAATCTATTATTCAGGCTTCGAACGCATACACAATGGTTAAGTCGGTATTCATTATCTAAATATTGATGTTGGTAATTGAAATATAAAATTAATTTTAGGTGGACGCATGTATCGAAGAGTACGAGAACCTCAACGTATGGCAAGTGAACCAAGTGCGGACCAAGATTACTTTTATGTAGACATAGACTTTTTGTTTTAAGTGTGTTTTGATAATTAAAAAAGAATTAATAATGGCATTTTGTTTTATTTCGTGGACTTTTAATACTTTATGGTCAATTTACGCATACGACCTCAGCTTATGCTATTTTCTAATTTGCGGGCTTTCTAGTCTCATAAAACGGTGGCGTAAAAACCTTAGTAAAATATTTGTATAAGAAATCTTTGTTATATGCTATCACCGGCGCTATAAAGTTTTTCAAACGAATATAACGGGGGTATTAACCCTTAGCTGTAGATGTACAATAAATATTGATGTTTTTTTAAGTAATTTTAATATATAACGAGCTTCGTCCTTCCTGGTACTTCTATCTATGTTTGCCATAGTCATTTTGTATGATGATTTGGTATTTTAAAAGAGTACCGAGAGTTTTTTACGCCGGCTTTTTCTCTCTGCCTACACCCTCTGTCTTCTTTGCCAATGAGTAGGGATGTCTACCGATACAAATTTAATAACGTGGAATATAATTATTTTAATATTAGAAAGTATTTTTTATTTTAAACAAGAAGGACGCTCACCTGATGTTAAGTTATACCGCCGCCCATGAACACGCCATGAATATATAGAGCGCTTGCGAGTGCGTTTCCGACCTTTTAGGAATTGTTATGCCCTTTTCTGGAAGTGGGCCCTAAGTCGAATTGGTTCGGAAATAGTACAGCGGGCAGCTTCCATTAGAAAAACTTCCTTAAAAAACATCGTGGAACGACACGTGGAGGCGATATGTTATATAAAACGAAACGATTTTGTTCGATTATTTTTGGTCAATTAAAATTGGATCGCATCTTAGTTCTGTTTATTGTATTAGGCTAAATTATTTGAGATATTCTGACTTCTGAACGTCTCAGGTTGACACATGTGACATGACGTAATTAAGATTCAATAATAAACCTCAAGTATAATATTTTATTGCTTTTAATTCTTACAATAAATATGAATGCATTTTGAAACTACCCTCAAAACTGAAATGAAAAAAAATATTTCCATGTTTCACTACATAGCTGTAGATTAAGTTAGAACGTAGCTTCTACTTTTGGCAGGTATCGAATGGACAATTATTAATAAATGCAATAAATACACTATTAGTGCTGACGACAAACATAGTCTTGGCACGATTTCTCACTAAAAATCACTGACTAGAAAAAAAATATATAAAATATTCTATAAATGGAATGACATTGGTAAACTGATTGCAGTTTCAGAGGTCAATTATAGCAATTACCTTTTATAAGTATATGAATTTTTTATTAGTTTGTCGTCTGTACCCACCCTCAAGACAATACAGCTGGAAATACTAGAGACAAAATCCTTTAATCTAATTACAACAACGAACTATATTATATAACAAAGTTAATAATCACAGATACAGACAAATTTTCATTTCTAATAGTTGAAGTTTATAAGATTAAAATGTGAAATTACTAGTTATTTAATAAACTGGTAAGCTTTTAAAGGAAGAAATGTCTCATCGCATTATACATGGTAGCCAAACCATTTACATATATATTGTTACGAAGACGGGTCGACGGCAATGTTTTAGTACTTTTTAGTAGGCTGATATATGATTTATAACCGTTTCAGGAGAGGGTCAATCACATATTAGAAAATTAATTTACAGAATGTTACCCTAGTTTTCAGGAGGCTGAAACATCTTTTCAGACAGTTTAGAAAAAGTGTAGTCGAGTGGGATACTTCAGGAAACCCGTTTTCAAGCGTTCTCAGGCCTGGTTGTACCCCTTTGATGTAGGAATATACTAGACAGAATTTTCTAGGTGTGGGACAAGGACGGTATAATACGCGAGAGAGAGGGAAGATTGGAACCTACTCGCTACTCTATCGCTACTCAGTAGCGCTCCTGCCTAGAGAGTTCTCGAACATCGTTCAAGATTATTCCCAGGGATATATAAGCGAGCTGGAACGCGACCGATTAATTCAGTTTCGAATGCGATTTCAAGAGATAAACACCGAAGAGATAAACTGCGAATAGAGTGAAGACAAGTGATAAAGTACTGTGTGAAGTGTGTGTAATTAAAGTAATTAGTGACAGTATTTTGTAATAAGTGAATTTCTGTGCATAATTAGCGGCTTTTTGTGTAGACAAATTCCTCGTAGATTTATTTAGAAAAAACCCTTGTAGAAATCTACGGCGTTTTCTATCCGATACCCTAGCTCGTAACAATATTATATGATTACCTTAAAACATTATAAATATTAGTCATATAATAAAACAAACATAAACGAAAACAACGTTATCCATAAAAACTAAATTTCAATTTTAACAGTTACAGCAGTCTCTTTTCGTCGTCCAATTAGATAGAAAGAGACAAAACAACACTACATTTGAAACTGTATTAAGACTGATTTATACAAATAAATTTATCTTCTATGTACGCTATTTGGAAGTAGGATTAAAGACAAAACTATTTTAAATGGCATTAACAAGAGACGTTATTACAAGGTTACAATAATAAATCTTAGCCTAAACGAAATGGGATCTAAATCTACATCAGTTTCCCTATCGTTCTAAAACCTTGTAATACCCAAAATAGATATTATTAATGATTGTCAATGTAACCATTAATATAAGAGTTAAATAAATTTTAAAACTCTGTGAAAATAGTACTTTCACATGTGGTCAATTGTCAGACCACAAGTTAATATTATTTATACCAAGTAAACATTGACAAACAATGTCCATCTTATGACGTTTAAGTCACTGCCAATGTCAAGATATTTAGATAACTTCCGGTTGAAATATAACAGTTTCCGGAACATATATATCACTGGGTTGCCAGCAACTTTGAGAGCAAGTGAAAATGAGCACAGATAAGAAATGCAAATGGGATAGACATATATTTCCGGGAATAACTTGAAGCGTTTCTGCAAATCCCGGCATTAGTTGAAGTTCACAGATTAGATTGGCACCACATCGGGTACAAATTAATGGACAAGATGGGCTGTCTAACATTATAGGCGCTCCAAGTAGTGGTGGTTCGCCGCGACTGTACCTGTGAAAATATAATATTATCAATGCACCAACAAAAGTTTTAGCAGAGGTCTTTTTTGTTCGTAACGGGTTAGGTTTTGTAAAATGCTTTAAGCTAGCCGCTGACCTTATTAATTAGTTGAGCCTCGTTGATTGATTAACTTCGTGTATTTGAAGACGAGACAGTTAAACAAGCATTGTATAGCATCAACAAAATACAGTTTTAATAATTGACTTTAAACTTTAAGAATGTTTCCTATCAGTAATTTTCATTTTTAAGTTAAAATTAAATTGTTACAAAACTAAACGCCCCTCTTCATTATAGTTTAAAAGATTCAATTAAATAATAACCTATATATAAACTATACTCTGATTTTTGTGACAATTATCATTTTTTGACATGTCAGAGATTACAAACCTTTTTGGCCGGGCATTTTTTAAAATTTCTATATGAGTCTGAACATTTGACTCTATACATACTATTTATTTGTTAGTGAATGTATCCATTTTATTAAGTGCGGTGCTCCACATTAAAAGTGATTTTACGGCGACTGATAATTACGTCCCTTTTCATCACAAACAGTAAAAAACACACAAGTAAAGATAACATTTTATTTTTTTTAAAGGTTTAATAAACCTGGAATTAGGCAGTGATGCCAGCTAAAGAATAAAATAAAGTTATTAAAGTTAATTCGATATACCTATTGTTCGTGATATTGAAATTTTTGTTATATGTACTTGTAACATATAAAAAAAATTATATGTTACAAGTACAATAACAAAATTAATTAATTAATTTTATTTAATTTTTATTTAGGTCACTTGAGTAAGTAAATATTAAGATTTACCTTTTTGTAGGTAAAACATAAAAAATACGTAGCATTTTTTTTATTGACCTCAAATGGGTTAAATTTATCCCTTTTTCGGTGGAGAACTTTTTTAGTAGCAACTGAAATGTCAGAATTTTACGGAACGAAAAATCAGAGTTTATACTCAGATTTTTTGTTGTTAAAAAAAATTTAACAATTAGCTAATAATTGACATTTAGGATTTTATGAAAATTTCATATAGCATACCTAAGTATCTGTCCCGGGTTGTCTTGCAATCGTGATAAGAAGGAGTGGAAGAGTCTATCTCCGTGAAGCGGTGTGGCTTCTTCATACACTTCTTCTTCGCCTGCCAAGTTTCCTCTTTCTACATTCACATTTGCTTCTAAATCTAAAAATAGATAAAACCTTTATAAGATAATTGTAATAGGATTTATGGGTTGTTATTTATCTATAATTGATAAGAATAATACTCATCTGAGAAATAACAACTCATTGACAAAATAAATTCATACTTTGTTTAATCTTGCTTTTTTGAAACCCGAAACTCTATACAACATATATTCTTCTATTTAAGATAGCAGTTCGCTTACATTTTTAATTTAAATTTAACGTAATGGCTTATACTCGGTGGAAAAATAATGTTACATATTATAGTACATGCAATATTCTAATATCATTATTACATTTATCATTGTTTTATCAAATTCATAAAATACACTTTACAAAAACATTTGTAATTAAAAAAATATTAATGTCTTTCTTTGTTTGTAAAATAAAGTTTATCTGAAAAGACTAATAATGACCTGATTCTTTCGTGTATTTGTTGAGCAATTCAGTTATTTTCTCATCATTATAAGAAGACTTCTTCCATTCTTCTTCTACATAGATATATTTTGGGACAAATTGTAAAGGGCCATACATGAGTCGACTTCGCAATTCAGCAGGTAATTCAGCTGTCTGTAATATATATATGATGGTTATTATACGTTCGGTTAATTGACGTGACATAGCTTTATAAATAATATAAAATAAAAATTTTGTTTATGAAGGTAGCTTTTGTATCCATAATATAAAAAGTTACAAGAAGCCTACAACTTCTAAGAAGATAAAATCCAAAGATTTTTTTGTTCTTAAATCTTATGTTTTAATCATATGAGAATTTTGAAAAGTTACAAAATCCATTCCCGCTACTTTTGGCTTTATACTCTATTAACTAATAAAGTCTGTTATTGTTTTTTCTTAAGTTATTATTCTTTTCTCACTAACTCTGCAGACATATGAGAAACTATAAATAATAAACATAATATGAGCGTACCTGATGTAACAACACTTCAATATTGCTAGTGGGCGCTGTAGGGGTTTCTACTGTGACCAGGCCAGGTTCATCTCCACCTTCCAATTCTGCAGCTGGCATGGGAACACCTATAGCACCTACAGCTCCTAAAATTATGTCAAACTAATATTTGTTACCAAAATATTATTCTTTGGTTTCATTTTTATTTATATATTTTTTATATTGACAAAATTAAAATAACAATTCAATATGGCACAAACAAACAACACAACTTATTTTTTAAGAACACCTTGTAACCGTTTTCATATAATATATTTATATATATACCTTGTAATGGAGAGAGATTTGCATTATGAGCATCATACATGTGTACATTTCCCAATGCTTGTTCAACGGCTTCTAAGTCATAAGAATTACTTTCATCATCATCATCAGAATTTCTGGAAAAATTACAGTATTTATTTTAGAAAACATAATTTTTAAAGCTGTAGCCCATGTTTCTTAACAATATCATTCTCAGATTTGTGATTCAGGAAATATAATTATAAATCTTTAGCGTTTATGACAACAAAAATAAAGGACGAAAACTTTTGGAGATATGTGGTATAATATAATTTAAAAGAATACAAAACTAGACCAATGATAAAATGCTAAGTATATGTATATATATACTTCTGTATTAAGTAGAAGAATGTTTTAACAAACTGAAACTAGAATTTTAACTCCGAAGTAATGAAAATTCTACTAACCTGTGAATGTTTGGGCTTGAAATATTATCCACATTCATTACATTTCCATTAGCTGAATCTCCATTGTCATTTTCATCCCAATCATCTGAGCCTTTACACCAGCTTAAATTAGCATCTACACTTGGTATGGCAACAACAGCACTTGTTTTACTTGAGTCATCTTTAATTTGGCCGCGAATACAACTCCAACTAGAATGGTTTTACACTATACTTAGATTCTACTTAATTGATATAAAGAGACCTGATCTTAGATATGTAAGATTCCTTACCTTTCTGATTGGTTCCAGCAATTGGGATTAATACAAGCGAACACATAGAGGGTTCGATGATATTCAGAGTTTTCAAGTGGAGCATAACATTGAACAACTAAAAGCCTATGCAAACTGCATATGGGACATTTGGAAGGAAACTTAAAATTCTCTGGTAAGGGCCAGTCCTATAATAAAAATATCGTTTTTATTTCGATCTAATATTTATGTAAATAAATCATAATAACTATCATCATCATATTGTATGAAATAGAAGGAGATAAGATTGTGAATAATACTTACGGGTAAACCTCCAATTTTATTAACTGTAAAACTAAGAAGCGTTCGATTTTTATCATTTATGATTTCTTCTTCATATCCTAAATACACCTTTTCCTGTTTCTTTGCCATTTTAACTCATTAATGTATTTTGTAAATAGATTTGCAAAAATCAATAACACAGGTCAGTACTCCTCTCGTGTTGTATTGCAGTGATGTAGATCACAGATTAGATATTAGGTTGCAGTTGTCAATTGTCATTATTCAGTTGTCACATTGTCAAGACGTAATAGTCCTAGGACCTTTTAAAATCCTGGACTATTGATTGGCAATCTTCTAAAGAAAAACTGGCAGGCACTATGCTAATATTCAGTATTCAATCCCTTCTTCGCCGTGGTTTTTTAAATATAAGTTTTTAAACAAAAAGGTCACGTCTATAATCTCCGTCTTCGTATAGGGCACGCTTCTACTCCCGTTCATCTAGCCAAAATTAAAATAAAAGACAGTTCTCTCTGTGAGTTGTATGGACGAGGGCTCGACAGACCATATTTTTTAACTTTCTTTAAATAATACTCGTTATTTGACCATCTTTCTCCAGATTTCCCTCGTCCATGTAACCTTAACTCCCTACTTTCCCTCCCATCCAGCTCGATCTCAAAATATTAGGGAAATTTATTTCTTTAATAAATTAAAGTTATAAATAAGATTCTCCCCTTCATACCTTGTAGTAAAATGTTAACCTCTTGTATATATTATTAGATTTCTGTTGTGTATTTATTGTGATGTATTTTGTTTTGGGTAACTCTGCTTAGATAAAATTCAATGTATCAAAATTATCAAATCTATCCTACTGTGTGAAGTTTAGAACTACATTGGGGAATTGTGATTTAAAGATTCGCCATTATAAAAAGAAGTGAAGTCCTAGGGACTTGTAGACTACAATAGTAATAAGGATGAAAAATTTAAATTTATTTCAGCCAACAAATCCTTTTTTGATCGCGGTTTATTTATCACTTTACCGTAGAAGTTTGCGAAATTGTTTTGTACTGCCTCTCGGTTGTTACCCACTTAAAAAATGGTCTAAATTTTGAAAAAAGAAGAAATCTACTCTAGGTGAGTACGGTGGGTGAAGGAGAGCTTCCAGCAGTAACTCTTGTAGCTTTGCGATGGTCTGTCGTGAAGTGTGAGTTTGGACGTTGCCGTAGAAAAGCAATTGGCAATAAACATCTGCTGTCACTGTGCCATTGTGGCCACTCGGTAAGAAACTGTGATGTACAGTTCGGCACTGGTACACCAGACAGTCACCGTCATCTTCATATGAGTAATCTTTTTTAGACAACTGATTACAGCTAGTACAGCACGTAACTGAAACGAAACCTTTTACAAAAACAAAAATGTATATAAAAGCCAATAACTGTATTAGAAATTATATTAACACGGCTTTCGAATAAGTCTAACTCATAAAATCTAAAATAAATCCTATCTCTGCTCGAATAAAAAAAATATAATAATATAATTTGTTTAAATTACTAGCTACTAGCTTAAATATATATAATAATATATACACATACATATGTGTATATCTTAAATTATTGATTTACAACATCGTTATCATCATTGTCTACCTACTATTCTAATAAAGTAGTAGGAGCGAATATATAAATATATTATAACTTAATTAATTAATGTAATACCATCATAATTCAAAGTTTATAGCTATACCAACCAAGTAGGATTTACAAATACGGAATATTTTGAAACTCTAAAATTTGGCAAAGATGGGCAGGCGTTGTTGCAAAATTTTTCGAAATACATTTTACTTTACAAATATAGTATGATAGTTTCAACTCAGGTTACTTAATTACATAGATAATATATTATCGATACAATATATATGATTTGGATCGTTTCTTGTAAAAACAACAAAGGAGTGGAACGCCTTGCCTTTCATCTTCACTAGACAGTTTATGTAGGTTAATTTAAGCGGCGGTTAAATAGGCATCTCCTGGACAGGTGTCATCTCCAATACGCCACATCTCACTTAACATCAGGTGGAATTGTAGCCAAACGTCTTCCAGTTATGTATCAAATATGATAAATATAAGCTACAAACAGTTGGCCATTGAATAAGATATAATGCGCCCCTGCTCGCCCTTGAATATTGTAAATAAAAATATTCCCGATGTAGCCGGGACGTATCTGGCGAGACGCGTAACGCGTCATTCGTGAACTAGTTTATTGTACTAATTGATATGTTGTATCTTTTTAGTAAACATTTAAGAGATAGAAAAAGTCCCTGGACATAATGGCAGGGGAGTAGAGTACTATTATAATAAAAAAAAGAGAAAAGAGAGAGTCTTAAAAGAATTATCGTCAAAACAATCACGAAAACGTATATACCTCATTGAAGGATATTGTGACATCAAATACTCATAGACGTAGAGACCGTAGGTTCGTAACAGAAAATAACTTTTTAAACGGAGATATATAAGAATGAAAGCAGATAATAAGTAAAAAAAATGTATACGCCCCATTAGAATTCACACATTTGAATTTTAAATGTCTCATCAAAACTGGGTAAGCATATTTTAGGTCAATTTGGTTATATTCGGACACCATTACGAATTTTCATTATCGAAAAAGGAGCGGTCGTTGCCCAAGGATTTACGCATTCGCTTGGCGCGTGGGAAACCTCGAGCTTTTAAAATTTTACATTCAGATATCAATTTGACATCGCACAGTAATGTTGTTAAGACAATGAGTTCTATAAACATAATTAAAATCTTTTTTGTAAGTATTTTTTTATATATATATATAATATATGTGAAAATTTCTAATTTACGTTTATTTCCTGCAGGTCTTGTTTTTGGCTGAAGTGACAACAATAACAGTTAAACCATGCCCTACAAATAAAATAGCCCCACATAGCCGATATCCAAGGTATAGCCAGCAGTCCAGGACTTTTGGGCATATTTTCAGTTTGTTTGCTGATGAGAGTCAAGAAAATCATGGCGGATTACAGGATGATGCACAGGATGAACCCAATGACTGCGGTGATGTCGAAGATTACGACGAGAATGATTTAAGTACAGGTAAATTTTTTTGTTTGTGAAATAAAATCATGCTTTTATTAAACGAATAAAATTCTTAAAAGAGGATTCCTTCTTGAATAAAAATGGTTTTTCAACAGGTTTAACTTAAATTAATGTTAAACAAAAACTTTATATTTCAGTTTAACTAAATATAATAAAAGATAGTAAAGAACACGCATTCTCTTGACCTACAAGCATTTCAAGGTACAGATCTTGATAAATAATATCTAAAAATTAGCGTTTTTTTATATGTATAATTTTAATGCGAAAGTGTTATTACATTTGATGAATTTTAAGATATTCAGAGTAAAGACGAAACCAATATTTAATTAAAAACTAAATATATATTGACTAAATATTGAAATCTGTTCCTTGGTACTTGGTAATGTTTCGTTACAAGTGTCTAAAATAAATACAGTTATTTAAGATTTGCTCAAAGATTTTACTGTATAAAATTTCGTAATTTATTATATTAGGACTACAACATTTTATTACAGTAAAGATGTCACATACTTTTTATGTCCCAAAGGTTAAATGAGTTTATACAACTTTGGTTCATTGTAATACGCTCCGTGTGTCGCAAAACCTGACATGACTCGAAATTACATAATTCTTATGTCAACAGTTACACGAAATCAAAATACGCGAGATAAGGAGCGATTGTTCTTTAATCCTTTGGGATTCCTTTTCGGACATGGTCAGAAGCCAACAGAAACTTCAACAAAGCGGCCAGTAAAGCCTACTTATCCACCGAAGCGACCTCCGCCTGGTGGCTACTTCGGCACCAACTCATATAGACCTCCAATGCGGTTTACTCCATCTGGTATGTATACTTCCGTATTATTCATCCATTCATTGTATTAAAATAGAAAATGATTTATTTATTTTTATACCATCTAAACAGTCTATCTTAAATTCCCGATTAATTTTTTTTATATACTAGTTTAATGGTGTTTTGTGATGGAACTTAGTAATGAGATTTATATTTAAAAAAAAAACATAACAAAGTAGCGCAGGGCATGACTTTCACCGTTACCACTAACGGGAAAATAAGTAATAAATCATGAAAAATTTAATCGATTGTAATATACGATACGACGTATAATACGATGATTTGTTTACAGTATTTAAGGTCGAAAATTATTAAGGAAGTACAATTCCAATGTGAAAAAATTTGAGGTAGGGGGAAATCTTTTTTTTATCGATACCAAGGATTCTTCTAACAAGTTTACATAGCAAACTATTATAAGTATATAGAAATAACGCCTTTCCACTAATGTGGTGGTGTGAGGTTGACGTAAGTTTTTATTGATGTAAGCATACTTATACATAATATATATGTCATAAAGTATATGTTTTATTATTTATATAATTATAATTTGACAGTTGTGCAGCAACGTATATCATATGCAGCTATTATACTCGTAGTAACTACGTAAATTTAAATTGAATCATATTAAAAAATATATTCAAGGCTGACATTGCAGTTATTTTTAAGTCTTTGAATTGTTGCAATCGTGTGCAGTTTGGGTGTAAATTTATCCTTATGATAAGTTTAAACTGATAAATGCTTTTTTAAATTTAAGTAACATCACGCTGTATGTATACAGTGTACTAGAGTGGCTGTTTTTTTTATAGAACAAGGGGCAAACGGGCCGGAGGCTCACCTCAAGTGATACCATGGACACTCTCAATGCCAGAAATCCCGCGAGTGCGTTGCCGGCCTTTAAAGAATTGGTACGCCATTTTCTTTAAGGTCCTTAAGTCGAATTGGTTCGGAAATACTTCAGTAGGCAGGTGGTTCCACATAGTGGTGGTGCGCGGCAAAAACTGCTAACAAGAACGTTCAGTTGTGGAGCCACAGACGTCGAGGTGATACGGGTGGATTTTCGTATTCTACCTCGACGTCCGATGATAAACCCTGCTCAGGTATTAATCCGAACAACTCCTCTGAACACTATCCGTGGTAACTCCGGTATTAGATGCAGCGTGACCCCACATCTTTACCCAACGCCAAGGGATCAAACCACTCGGAGAGGTATTGGTCGTCGACGATTCGAACCGCTTTTCGTTGAATACGGTCAAGTGAAGGAGCTGGTACTGGTGAGCACCCGCCCCAGAGGTTTGCGCTTCATACAGTTACAAGCAGTGGCCCGGAGTGAAGTACCGTCTTGCCTTGCCTCCAAACTTCTCCGACGAACAGAGAGGAGGGTCGACGGAGACTTGGTAGTTCTCTGGATGTGGGGCCAACAGAAGGTGCAACAAAAATGGTTTGAGACCATCCACATCTGGTATTCGCGTAATTGCGGGAACCATTTGTGTCAGGTCATATGCCAAGGCAAAGTCATGAAAAGACCTACCTACCAGTAGTATCAGAGCCGAGCCAGTCGGTATGGTGGGCGATAAAGTCACCATCACGATTTCGACGGACGGACCTTTTCAGGGAATCTGTAGTCATTTGGATGTGCTCAATGAGTCGCTCAGTTTCGGCATTTCCGCTATGGGACCTATACAGGCACGCGTAGAATCGCAGATGTTCATCGCAGTCAACGCGCAATCAGAGGATAGATAGGTCTGTTCCTAGGCAACGAGAACAGACATCCTGACGTAATCGCAAGTAGGATGCTCTCCTCCGCGCATTGCAAACTTTCGCCCGCGGCACAAAAGAGCGTTTCAATTTGTACCCAGACTGATACCTAGGAGAGTATCAGCCGGGGAGGATATCTGTGTCTCTAAGTAAGGAAGAATAAGGCTGGCTTCGCAGTTCCAAGATGAAAGTGAACCGCGTTGAGGTTAGAATTGATCCCCCCGGACTTCGGTAAAGTCCACTATGAGCGTGGAAGGGTTTGCCTTCGGTAAATTTTTCCGTTTGCCCCGAGATCCAAACCTGTCCCAAGATTTTAAGATTTTAAATACGAAGGGCATCCTGTTCATCCACCATCGAATGCTGAATGTTCTGATGATGGACGACCAGAAGGGGATTTTACGTGTTGTTACCCATTATTTTTTTCATGGGTTCCGGGGGTCTCACTCACGGCACGAAACGCGAGAACAATAAGATGAACCTATTGCACTTCACGCCCGTTTTGTGTGTGACAGTGGTTGTGCCCCGGTCGTGCCCATTTGGCTGAAGCCCGAAAGTAACAGCATGGCACTCCCACTAGGAAGGGGGTTGACTGATTGCACTGAAATAACCTGTGACACAGTCTTTATTAACTTTATGCATACGACTTAATAAGTTCAACTTCTAGTTGCGAGATTTTGGCTCTTTATAGCATAGGCATTCAAATCAAAAATTGCATTTTTCAGATCTCTTGTTGCACATCACAATTAATGGTATCTAAAAATACTGCTAAAAATCCTACCTGTATATCGACGTGTAATGGATGACGCTAACATATTTATGTAAACATTTTATATTAGACAAATGATCCCAAACAGAAATTATTCGAAATATTTATACCTGGAGAGTCGAAAAAAAAGCCTCGGTCTTAAACATACTGTATACATCAATAATTTTAAAAAAATCAATTAAAACCCCTTTTTATTTTAGATCACCTGAAGCCTGTTCTAGAGTATGATCAAGAGCCGCAAATTCTATACAAGCCTGGTTTGGTTGGAGCTCCCCTTGGTCATGTTGTGGGTGTACTCCAAGTAAAGCCCTCAAGGCAGTCGTTACAAAACAGAGATCCCAAAAGCCTTACCACAGAACCAACCAAATATCAACATAAACAACCAAAACCAAGGAACATTCAGGACACTGGTGTTATTCGTTCCTTTATAGATTTAATATTTTAATAAATTATTGCGTTTTTAAGTTACTTTATAGTTTTACTAGCCGTTTCCCGCCCGCTTCGCTGGGCGAATTAAAATAGGAAATAAATAAAATTTTATGTTTCATTATTATTTTTTTTTCATATTTTTATTATTCTTCTTTTTAACTTCCCGCTGAGAAAATTGAAAATTTTCAAAAACGAGTTTTTAACAGATGTTGACGTTTTGAGGTTCTAGGAAGCCTCCCCGAATGTTTCCGCGGTGAAGTTCGTATGTATAAATTTTCATAAAAGTAAAACAGCAATAAAAAAATGAGGAACGTTGGATTTAAAAAAATAAATAGCCATAAACCATCTAGGAAAAATTTCGCATTTCGAATGGCAGTAGTTTCATGTCGATACGATCAGTGAAGGCGTGAAGGAGCCTCAAACGAAGACCATTTTTCTTATATATATATAGATTATAGAATACACATTGATCTGGTAGAACAACTTTCATTTCCTTAGTGTTTACTTCTAATCGGCCCTACAGTGCAACCTTGGTTACCTTTTAAAATGTTATAGGGCGCTAATGTGACAATATACGTATACGTTCTAGTACGCAATTACGTTGGTAATTAATATATCGGATGTCCTCTACGTCTAACTAAAAACACGTGACGAAAATTGTGGCGATCAGGATAATCCTTTAATCCGTTCATTTAGCGTTTTAGTTCATTAATTTAAAATTACAATGATCTCACTGCGAACAGTTTTTAGCGCATTCGAACACTATGCTTCAAAGCTATCGTGTGCTTGTTTATTGAGAAGTCCTAATGTACTAAAGAATTATGAAGTGTATTTATATATTACTTGTTTTGCTTCACGGGTTTGTCTTAGCTGCATGTGAAGGTAAGTATTCACCTTACGTTAACTTCCTGCATTGTGTCTTGTTCGTGATGTTTAATATCTGTCACGATATATAGTTCCAGAATCAAATAAATATCTAGAAGCCCTACGTCAGAGACCTTGGAAATCAGTTCATAAATATATCGAAGTTCGACCTGGGGCATTTCTATTTTACTGGCTATACTATGCTGATGCAACGAGGGCAGGCGCTGATCAAAAACCCTTGATAATCTGGATTCAAGGTGGTCCGGGGAATGCTGCGAGTGGAATTGGCAATTTTTGCGAGCTTGGGCCTTTGAAAACAGATATGTCACCACGAAATTACACATGGGTAAACGATGTGTATTTGTAAATATTTTAAAACATATAATGAATAAGACGAACTTATTTGCTGTTTTAGGTGAATGGTAGAAACATTTTATTAATTGACCATCCAGTCGGTGCGGGATTTAGTTACGCCGTCAACACATCTTTATATGTGACAAGCGATAGAGAAGCAGGTATCAAATACAGCCTTTAAAACGTAGATTGCTCTATTAAAAAAAGGGTGCGTGTACTTATGTACGGGCGTAAGAAGTTATACTGCATTATTAAAAATAGTTTTTGATTGCATGCAAATAATTAATTACAATTAAATAATCAAATACTGGAAAAGGAGTCATTATAGTTCAGTTTACATTTGAAAAGAATAGAATTTAAAAAATCGAATGTTGTTTTTACATTATGTCCAATGCCGTAGCATCTTCCGTGGGCAACTTCATTCTGTTAATTTTGTGTCACCGTGCGCGCGCATCGTAAAATTTCACTCTCATCAATTTTTATAACGCGCCTAAAGAAGTATAACTTCAAAAATAATATCGTCTAATAAGTTTAAACTACGTAATATAAACCTCCAATGGGGATTAGTTTGGCAACGTTTTATTTATTGTTTCAATCACCCTTTCGGACCAAATCGTTGATACATATACAGAAAAAAGAGCAAACAAATAGATGGACCTCTGTTTTTATAGACTATAGTGCCAGTTTTAAAAAATATATTATTTACAGTAAAAGATTTGCTGCGGTTTACGAAGGCCTTTTTCAAAATTCATAAGGAATTTCGAAAAACACCGACTTATGTTGTCGGTCAAAGCTATGGTGGTAAATTGACTGCAAGGTTGGGATATTTTCTACATACGGTAAGTATTGCATTGTTTTTTATAATAAACAAGAAACCGATGTTCAACGCGTAGAGATTATAACTATATTATAGCAGCAGAATATGTATTAACTTATATTTTTTAAGGCTATAGAGAGAAAACGTATAAAAATAAACTTCAAGGGAATTGGAATTGGCGGAGGTTGGATAGACACTAGTGAGACTTCTAAGCAGCAACCACGTTTTTTGTTTGATATGGTATGCTTTTCATATATTTAAATAGTCTTGCTACTAATATCTTATTTTTGGTGTAAATTTTTGTTATTGTATATATTCTCCAAGATGTTTGTCTAATACGTTTTTTAAAGTATTCATAAAATTATTTTAAGCCGAGATTTTTGATAAAAATTTGCTTAATAGCCAGTCGGTTTATCAGAAAAACTTTTAAGGATTTACTGAATCAGTATTGTAAATAATAAAATGGGCTATATCAAATCCTAACACGGATAATAAATTTTAAACTGTCTTTTCGGTTTTGTTTCAGGGTTTAATAGACATCAAAGCCTTTAGGACAGCTACAAAAATAGCTGAAAATATCAGCAGTCTCATTAAAACAAGGAATTATTCGAAGGCGGGACAACTCGACTACGTTATGTTTGATACAATAATGGACGACGCGTCCTACGGATATGATATGATAAATTTGGAAAATGTCAATCATTATAGCTACAGATTACTTTTAAAAAAACTAGATGAGAATATGAATACGTTTGTTAAACCGACTCTTAACGTTAATCAAAGTATCAATTGGCAACATCTGACATACGAGGTCTATTTTAGTTTGCAAAATAGCTTTGTTGAGCCTGGTACTAAATTTTGTAAGTATTTGCTAAGGAGCATTAATTTCTTTTCGATGATGATATTTAAATTGTAAGTGGTAAGAAATATAAATCAATATGAATATGTATTATGTGCGTATCTAATGTTTCTCAAAAAATCAGTGGCGCTACAACCTCTTTAGGTCTTGGCCTCAGATTTCTGAATCTGTTTCATGATCATTTTTAAATCTAATAGGCAAGTAGGTGATCAGCCTCCAGTGCCTGACACACGACGTCGACTTTTTGGGTCTAAGACATGTCGGTTTCCTCACGATGTTTTCCTTCACTGTTCGAGCAAATGTTAAATGCGCACATAGAAAGAAAGTCCATTGGTGCACAGCCGGGGATCGAACCTACGACCTCAGGTATGAGAGACGCACGCTGAAGCCACTAGGCCCACACTGCTCTTAATAAATAAATAACTACTTTGTTTGGAAAATACGTGCCGCATTTAAAAAAAAAAAAATATGTGTAAAAGTGTGTTAAAGTTTAGTTGTTAATCAATTTTCATTGATGATATTTTTCTTCTATATTCACACAAATATGAGAGAATGAGTAGGTTGGACAAAAGGTCCTAACTAATGAAGGACCTAGGATTTGACGGAGACGTAGGGTTTACAATGAACAATGGCGAGAGCGCATGACCTGAATATTAACAAAAACAGGACATGTATAATGACACATATTATAATTATTATTTAGACGATATTATAACAAAAAATTGTGGAAGTACCGAATAAACAGCAAGTTTACTTTGTGCCAGCAGATTTGAATTAAAAATTTATTTTTCAGTAGAAATTCTACTAAATCGAACAAACTTAAAAGTTGTTGTGTATAATGGAAATTTGGATGCAGTGACGCCATTGTGTGGTGAGTAATTTAATTTGGCCTTTTCCGTTATTATTACGTAAATTACCATCATTATTTATGAGATGTTAATATTCATGATTATTAACAACTTCCTTTGAAATATTTTAATTATTATAAGTTTAAACGAGAATTATGTTTATTTTTGAGGATTACGCCAGTATAATTGTTTTTCATTATCCTTGAAACGCATAAAATAGGTATATTTAGATAACTCTACCGAGTATATACAGGAGATTTTACCGGACTAGAATTTTATACTTTTGTATTTAATTTTGTAAAACTATCAAGGTTAACCATATACAGAAACATCTTGACAAGATGACGATAATATGTGAATATTAGCGTCATATTATCCGAGGACGAAATTATAACTTGAAATTTATTATAAATAAAAGTAGTTTATTTAATTGGTACATTCACGAATTGTTTTTTTATCCTTTCCACACAGTTTTACTCACAGATTCGCAGAGTTATCCTTTCCAAAATTTTAGAATAAAATGCCTGTTAAAGGATGATGTAATATAATCTACTTTGTAAAACCTTTTTCAAATAAATGTATAGTGTTTTCAGGTCCACTCTTGGACTCTTGCTCAAAATTGAACTATTAACGTGATAGATACTTTTAGGTGCAACAAATTGGGTACATAATTTGAAATGGCATGGTGCAAAACAGTTTTTCGATGCGAAAAGAGTGCCAATACGAGGTGAAAGAAGCGGCTTCTACAAAACATACGGAAAATTGAGTTTTTGGGCAGTGTTCGGTTCCGGGCATTGGGTATGTTTTAAAAGTGTTATTGAGAGGATATATCTGATATAACAATTAAATCTAAATTTACTTTTACAACCAGTTCCCAAATCAATAGAGCGGGCGAGAAGAACTGGCAACTCTTCACCACTCTTTTTAATCTTCAAGTTTACAAGGACATTGCTTTTTTATAGAACAGTGGCAAACGGGCAGGAGGCTCATCTGATGTTAAGTGATGGACACACACATTGCCAGAAGGCTCGCAAGTGCATTGCCGGCCTATTAGGAATTGGTACCTTTTTTTCTTGAAGTTCCCTAAGTCGTATTGGTTCGAAAATATATTGGGCAGCTGGTTCCACAAAGTGGTGGTGCGCAATAAAAACTGCCTTAAAAAACGCTCAGTAGTGGAACGACGGATGTCAAGCGACATTGTAGGGAACCAATACGTTAGACTTCGCTTGATTTAATGAAACAAAATGTCAATGAATTCGCCAAAAAAACAGACCTCCCTATTTGTAGGGATTATTAAAAAAAGTTTAGTTAGGAAGGCAATGCATTCTTTTTCATACCCAATGAGAAATAAATCATTGTAACACCTCCACAGCATATTTAATATATTCCGTCCGTATTGTTTTCAAAAGACCGTCAACGTACTTTTCTTTTGTTTATAAAAAACTAAACTGAAATAGTAAAGAACGTATACATCTATTTTTCAGGTCCCCGAAGACAATCCAACCGCTATGGAGCAGATATTACAATTTTTAACTCAGAATGATTCTTAACATGTTTATTATAGGTGTAAGAAATAAAAGGAATTAATAAAATAGTATATTGAATTTAAAATAATATAATATTTACATAAACAGTCAATAACAATGATTATATAGCACATAGACAAATTAAAAAAGCTAGTTCGAGACCATAATTCGATTTCAATATTATATTCTAATTTCTCTCAATTAGGCTCTTATAAAAAAGAACACATTTCATTATTATAATATATCAGAGCTTATTAAAAAATAGTTGTATAATTACTGTCATAGAAAATACACTTCACCATATGCGTTTAATTAAGAATAATCCAGCGTATATTTTAGTGCCCTGCAACCTTAAATAAATCTTGGCTTTAGACTGCATCGTTTTCTTCGATCGTTTTTATTTTTCTAGCCAAGTATAGCCTTCTAGTCTGACACATGTAGATTGGGTTTGAGACATACCGGTTTCCTCACGAAGTGCTAATTGCGCACATAAATAGAAGATTCTATTTGTGCACAGATATGATTCGAATGCACGCCCTGGAAGATCGTACGCTAAAGCCACTAAGCCAACACTGTTCTTACGTTACGTATTTAATTGTCACAATTAAAAAAAAATCCCGACGTATTGCGTGCTTTAAAGAAATGTTAATAGCTGATTTGTCTCGCTAAATTAATTTTGTGTTTTTCCAACGAGGGATATACCGCGGGTCATAGTTAGTAAAGTAAATTTTAATTAAAAAAACAGTAATAATTACAAGCAATAAATAAAGTGTATTTTCTTTTAAATGTAACTTATAAAAACATTTTTCAAATAAACATCATTGCCACAAAACACATTAGTTAAACACCAGAAGCATCCAAAAGTTCGTTTACTTACAACAAAAGCTTGCTTTTTGATTAAATTATTTTAGGTCTGGGCCTCAGATCTCTGTATCTGTTTCATGATCATTTTTTCATCTAATAGGCAAGTAGATGATCAGCTTCCTGTGCCTGACAGCCGTTTACTTTTTGGGTCTAAGGCAAGCCGGTTTCCTCACTATGTTTTTCTTCACCGTTCGAGATGTTAAATGCGCACATAGAAAGAAATTCCATTCCAGAGTCGCACGCTGAAGCCACTAGGCCAACACTGCTCATTGTTATTATATATATAAATAATTACTATTACCAATTTTTAATGGATAAGCTTGTTACGACTTTTTACAAAATCATGATTTTTAAGTTAACTAATTAATTAAATTACTTAATTCATTGTATCATTTCATATAAATATTGAGCACTTCGTATACGACAAAGCTTTAACATGTATTTTATCGGGTTAAAACTCGTGTAATTACAATATAGGCCGAACGAGCACTTCAAAATGAGTGTAACTTTTAAGAAGAAAGATTTGCAGTTAATATTAGCGCCATCTTTTGACAGAACTATGAAGTAAACAATTTAAAAACATAATTGGTATAAAACAGCGAATCAGTTAGTTCAATATTTTGAATCCGATGAAAACTCGACTAATATAAAAACAGTCTAAAGCACTTCACAAAAAGCCCGGTTACTTTTAAAAATAAAAGTGCTAATGATAGAGACTTATTCAGAGAGATTGATTCAAAAATTCTGCTGCGCTCATGGTTAAGAACGTAGACTGCATGCGACATTTTAGGCGAATTAGAAAACTATTAGATATATGGGATTAAGACTCGTGTAATTGCAATGTACCCAACGGTGAATACACTTTACAACAAACAAAAACTTTCTAGAATAAGTATTAGTTGTTAATAATATACATTGAATAGCGCTATCTATTGACGGAATAATTGCGTCATTTATTATAAAGCATGCACACTCCCATTTAATCATATATAATTTTCCATCCTCTGTACCCGCTTTGGCGTATGTGTCTAGCCATTTAAATAAAACGCGTTATATATAAAATAATTGTATGTATGCAATCCGCTGTCCATGTCCGCTGAATTATTCTTTGATAATTTTCTAGTTTATTAAGTTTATAATATGAATTTTTACGTAAGTCTTTGTCATACCACAAACTCTATATTTCGGTCTTGGGTTACGTAAGTCTAACTTCGACAAAGCATGCGTCACACACTCTAACGGGTTTGGTATTGCCAGCTAACGCTACGGTTTTTTCACTACACGCTCCACAGAAAATGTTGCCGCATCTTCTACAGTGGTGCTGAAAATGGGAAACTATTTTTAATACAATGGACAGGATGAAAACTGTTTCTGAAGATACAATTCTTTGTCTATGAAACATGGACATATCATTTGTTATTTATAAGTGTTTGTGTAACAGTTTAATTGGACTTTATACAGTGTGCAATTTATTTTTAAATAATTTTTCACTTATGTAACTAAGACAATTGGTTAGAAGAACTCGGCTGCTTAAGTGACCCCCCAACACTAGCGTCTTCTGAGCGTCGTCGTCGTGTCAGCGTCCGTCCAGCGTCAACGCGACGTCCTATCGAGTACATACAACTACCGCGCGTCAAGCCGCAAGCGTTCAGTAGCCGGCCAGCGCTGGCGTCAAGTCGCCGCGGCGTCGACGCTGTGCGGACGCTGACATGACGGCGACGCTCGGAAGACGCTAGTGTGGGTGGGGGGGTGTCTCTAAATTGTAAATAATTTGGAGCTAAAGTAATACCTTCCGCCTAGCAATAGTGAATTCTTTAGCGCACGCCGCACAAGCTGAGGCGTCCTTATCGCTAGTCCAGTTTGGAGTGTCGTCTTGTACCGCCCTCGCTTCTTTTTCTAACAATTCGGCAAGTTGCAATTTGTTCTCACTTAACGTAGCGCCGACTTCTTCTAGAGTTTTCTGCGCTTCACTGTATTGAACTCTAAGTTGGTGCTGTTCTTCTTGTAAGGCCATATATTTCTGAAAGGTTTAATTAATAATAAATTACATTTTAGCAAGACGAATTGCGTTAATACATTTTCGGCGCGGTTTTGAAATGTAAGCAAAATTGATACAAATATATACAGGCACAGAATAGTGTCTATAAAAACAGCACTTAAATTTTAATTGGCATTAAGAAGTTTGTAACGCCTTAATTTTCATTAAGGGTTATACGCTTAGAAATGTCTGCCACATGCCCCAATAATTTGTGGGCTTTCGATTTAGTTCGCATAGATGCACTATCTAAGCAAAGACAGAATAATCAGTTAAAAAGAGAAAAATTCCAAATATTATTGTAATATTTATATAATTTTAATACTTACTTGTCCTATTGACTTTATGGATTCTATTTCTTGTGTCAACGCCGATATTTTGTCGCGATCCCGTATCATTGAATCCTAATGGAAAAAAATATAGTGTTTTTGGCTCAAAAAAATCTTAATATTATGATCTTTTTTCTCTTGACTTACAGAAGGCTGATGTTAGGTGATACCATCGCTCATGAATACTCACATTGCCAGAAGGTTCGCAAGTGCATTGCCGACCTTTCAGGAATTTGTTCGGTTTTAGCTTGAAGTAAATTAACCCCAATTGGTTCGGAAATACTTCAGCTGGCTCCACATAATGGTACGCGGTGTCAAAAAAGTGCTTTAAAAACCGCTCGATTGAGGGTGGAATTTCGTATTCTGCCTCGACGACCGATGATGAAACTCGGCTATAGATTAATCCGAACAACTTTGAACACTCTCCATGGTTAATGCAGTAGATGATGTAGAGGGACCCCACATCTATACGCTATCTATATATAACCAACCTGCAATGATATTCGCCACTCCCTCTCTATCCTAAGATCACTCTCAGCAGCCACGGCTCTTGTTTCAGCGGTCACCGCCTTTTGTCCTAACGATCGAGCACTGTCCTCCAGACTCTTCCTAACCATCTTATCTTCCTGTAACCTATGCCCCATGTATAACGTATGTTAGTCCAAACTCTTTATTATTAGCAATGACATATTTTGACAAAAATAATAAGCTAATTAATTTTACTTAAGTTATTGGAATATGGTAATTACTATCTATAAGATATTGTATGTAACAAGCTTAATCTATCTTTTATGTATCCCATATATTTTTAAATTATTCTAAAGTAGCAAGGGCTTTAAAGTCATAAAGAGAAAATTTCATCTTTTGTTTTACAAAAAAAAAACATGTGTGTGTACTTAGAGGTACACGCGTTAGAAGTTATACTTCTTTTGCGTAACAAGATAAATTTTTTATCTTTCGTCTTATTCTACGTTTGTAGAAAAAACGACACTAACAATAGAAAAAAGGTATTGAATAGGTACATAGAAAGTATTATTTTAACGCATTAAATACAGTTTATTTAAATATCACAAAAAAATAATACATAATTAAAGAAATGGACATTTTTCATTTTAAAATGTTGACTATGCTAACTTGAGGGTGTCGGGTTTTTGTGACGGTGTGCGGGTGTCGGTTATTTGTGACGGTGTGCGCATCGTAAAAATTTACACTCATTACTTTTCCCTAACGCGCCAAAAGAAGAATAACTTCAAAAATCTATTATTATAGTCCTAGGTCATTGATAAGTGATACTGTAGTTTGTCACAAAACTGACAACTCGAACCGTTATCATATATTCATAAGTTCAATATAATCTAGAGGTGTGCAGGTGATTCGATTTTTGTGAAGGTATTTCGTTTAATTACTAAACATAATTGACAAGCAAAACAACACAAAAAATAAAAAAATATTCTGGGGCCTGGAACTTTTTTCTCCCTTTTTGTTCATAATTACAGTAAGTTACCAATATGAATACCAAAATTTCGATTAGATATTTAAATAATCTTGTTAAGCTTTATTTTAAATGGGATCAGCGATACAAGGTAAACAAAATAAAATAAATGACAGGCGAAACACATAAGCGTAGTATAAATATATCATGCAAATAAATGGACAATGGCAAACCTAGACAATAAACCAAAAATAATCTGCGGTTTTGATAAATGAAATACCATTAATGTTCGAATAACCTTTATTATAACGAAGGCATTACAACTAAGCTCTGAATTACAAAACTATAAAAGAAAATTCACATTAAACGCTAAATAATGACGCTTACATTGCGCAATGTGTTAAGATAACTGACACCTGCGTCTGTTTTGCCTAAATCAGACAGTTAAAACTAGGGATGCATCGATACGCCTTTTTGCCGATACGATACCGATACTCTTATAGAAATATCGCCGATACCGATACTAACGTTTATTTAATTCAAATTAAATTAAGGTAAAATATATCAAGTTTGGTTAAAGATTTTAATTTTTATTATAAAATAAAAACAGTCACAAACTTTGAATAAGATTAAAGGTTTAGTCAATAAAATTAAGAATTAAGAGTAATAGTTAAATTAAAATAAAATAAATAACTGTTAATAATTAAAATTAACATTGATCAGATGTTTGTAATTCTGTATTTTATTTAATTTGATATTGAAACAATACTACGCGCGATAGCAGTTAAAAGCCAACTAAAGTGCCTAGCGAAATGGAATGTGAGGAGCATAGATAGTCCGTGCCTCGTTTCCCACGTCCCAGATTAAACAAGATGCGCGTTTACATTACTTTTAAAGCGCGAAATTTGAAAAGTATCGTTTTATCGGCAATTAAAATATCGCCGATACCGATATATCGGCAAACCCAAAGTATCGCCGATATATCGGTATCGGATGCATCCCTTGTTAAAACAAACCCACTATAATGTAATATACGAGATCATGAATATATTTGAAATATGCTTACTACTATATCACTGATAAAGAGTACAAAATAATTTAAATATTTAATACAAGACAATTGTAATTTTAAAATGATACAATATATTTTATAGGATAAAAACATGTTAACCACAGCAACGAAGCAAAAGCGTAGCGCCTTGCTTATAATCATTTCATCGTAATACATTTCATTAAAATTGTTATCAAAATATTGAAAATCACGAAAGTTTATTGTAACGGTTTGCCAATGACGAAATAAGCTGTGCATCGCTCACAATGTGCGACTAGACCTAGTTCGAGTTTACAACGAATAAAACTTAACTACCACGTCATGCGATGACCTAAAACGTTCTGTAGAAACGTGAACCATATTCCAATAAACAGCAAGAAATTAATGGCTGTCAAATGGCTTCAATCGTTTTGTGACAATTGTTATCAGATCCAAGAATAATCAAAACGTTTTAAGCGAAATGCTTAACGCAATGGGTAGGTCTGCTTCGATGTCAACCCACACTAGGCCCTGATATGTCAAGCCGTAAGTAAAGACTCGATCGTTAACATCTAGGCACTTTTAAGAAAATATTTAGAAACCTACTTTTCATCGAGTTGATGTATCGTGCTGCCCATTGATTCAGTCTTTGCTTCCAATTTGGCTATTAGTTCTGTTTTATGTTTCAAGGAACTTTCACATTCCTAAAACAAAGCCACTATTTAACTCGAGAATTATTGCCTTTAGTTAGTATGATATATAAAAGATTCTCTACATAGCGGTTAAAAATAATTGCTAGGAAACACCACCTATCTACATTTGAGTTCATCAATTTATTCTTTAATAGTTTTATTTTTACGGAACGGTGGTATTTCCTGTAGGTTAATTTTCTTTTTCGGCGGTCCCTCATCTTTCGACTTTGTACCCTTTTGAGCGCTACTTTGTGCTTTTATAGTGTCTAGTTTGGCCCCGAGCGATTCGTTAGAGGGCGATCTAAGCGCTTTAACGAGATCGTGCTCGGGTCCCAGCAAATTATTATATATTTCTAAGTTGTGAAGTATTTTGCCAATTTGCTCAGCCTTTCCTTGAAGCCTGGAGACCATTTCGCCTTTCTTCGTGAGATCCACCTCGCATTCCTTCCATATAAGCGCGGCATTGGTGAATACAATAGCATTAGTTAAATATGTATAATATCTGAACTACATAAGCGTTAGGTAAAAGCGTACTAAGTAAATACAACGGTGGATAAGCTGACGATTTTGGCATAAGCGAGGTGACATTTTTAATTTCTCAGAATTTCTGGCAATTGCAGTTGTGAAATTTTTATCTTCTTATTGAAACAATCGCTATATGATGAATGCGGGAAATGTATGACAAGATTTATTCAATAAGTAGATGTAACGGATAATTAACTTGAGAACGCGTGGGTATTTGAATACCTGCTCCCACACTCAGGTGCGACCTTCTTGGGACAATGACACTGTATAGTATTCGGATTTTTGAACACAATAATAACAGATGGACTTGTTGGAAATTTTATGTCACAAATTTACCAGCAAAAGGACAACAGCTAACTAAATTTATGCATTTTCTTTGTCACTTTTAATGTCTATAAGAATACCAGGCAATGAAGCGCATCTTTACAATACAACAAAGTATTTTAAGCGGAAATTAGAAACATAGCACATATATATATATATATAGTTTCAAAACGGTCACATACTACCAGCGACATAGTTATACCAACATAAAATTTGCAATGACCTTGAACAATTACGACTCACTGATTTTGAGGTCAATTAATTGTTATAGTAATAGCCTTTATAATATAACTTATTCAAGGTCTACAATAAACGGTCAAGGTAGGTAAAGGGTACAAAATCCTACATAGGGCATGCTCTAATTGTAATGATTAGCAGAATTATGGTAATAATATTTAAGTCCAAAAACAAAAATCAAAAGTATCAGTGTCGCGCATTGGTTTAAAATAAGTTGTCTTAAATCAGCTAAGACAGTCCATTATAACATTGTATTAAGAGTGATATAATACATCGTTAAATATCCTTCGTAATTATTACGCTATTAAAAAAAATACTCTCGATTTTCGATTTTTTAAATAACACACATTTCCATTAGTGTTGTAAAAGAAAAAGTACCATTAATAATAAAGAAAATTACCTGTAATTTTTTGTACATTTCCAAATTGAGAAGTTTTATGTCATCCAGCTGCCGTCTGAGAGAGATAATTGTGTCTTGTTTATCGTGTATATCTTTCTCTAACAATTTCATTGCGACCTCCATTTCTGCCTTAAGCGATATCTGGAAAATTTGTATATTTTCATCAAAATCTAATTATTTATTAAAACATAATAATAATATGTCAAATGAAAATTAACCATTAATCCAATAATAGAAAATATATTTTTTCAATAAATTGTGTACGCACAAATACATCATTTCACGATCTAACCTAACTAATAAGTAATATAAGTTTAATCTAATTTACTTAAAAGGATATTTACATAAGAAAGTGTCCAATAACACTACTTACAGTCTTTATTAAGGGAACAAAACTTGTTCTTGCGTACTATTTTAATAAATAATAAAAAAATATGAAAAATCGTGCATTTGGCTATTTCTTAAATACGACTCGATTACGAAAAGTTTAAGTTATTTTTATATTTTTTAACTTTTATGGCAAATAACGTATAGACTAGAATATGCTACTATAAGAATACCCGTTGGATAATAAATAAATAGATATATATGTTCGGCGAGGGGAGGGCTACTTTGAAGTGCACTTTGCACAAATGCCGGAGTACCGCGTGCTAAGGCTCAGAAAAGTTATAATTGTATTTTTTCATATTTATGTAATCTATTTTTCGACTCATAAGTTTTTAGGTTCAGTAGTTAAGACTTTAAAGAAATAAGAACGTTTTGGGATATGACTTAGGATGCTATAAAAAAATACACCAGTTCACATTGCATTGCAAATCAAAAATCTAATTATAGCAGACACTGTTTATTGTTAATTGGTATATTTATTAACAAATGTCTATTTAATTAGTGATATGGTCTTAAATACATTAACAACTGGACTTTTAAAAGGTAATTAAACTAAGAGTTTCCGTTAATCTTTCGTGCGAAGACTAAGTATTTTTATTTAAGCATTTGAAAAAAAATACTACTAATGTTATCGCATGGTCGTAATGGTTTCTGGAAAATTTGGATTTTTATTATAAAATTTTAATTTTTTTTTGCTGAAAACGCGTGATTACTTAGAAAGCGTACTTACAAATTATTCAAATTATCTATAATTGAATAACCTTAATATATATAAATTACGTGTCACGTTGTTTGTCCGCTATGGACTTCTAAACTACGGAACCGATATCAATCAAATTTGCACACCGTGTGTAGTTTGATCCAACTTAAAAGATAGGATAGCTTACATCTCACGTGTGTTCAATACTTTAATAGTGTTCAACCACGAGTGTTTATTATATCATTCTACGATACGGTAACACAAGCAACGGCGTGGCAAAATCTCTACAGTTGTTTTGTTGCAGTACCGTGTTGCAATGACTGCCTTTCAAGAGGCTCGTTTCGACCAATTAAAGGAACATCTCAGGAGACGATGGGTTTTATTTATAAAAAGATCAACTTACTTGCAAGTCAAGTTCTTTCTGAAGTTCCGCATTCTTCTTCCTTTCTTCCTCCAACAGTTTCGCAGATTCCGTGTCTTTGTCGCTTTTCGATTTGTCTGACGTTGTACTTTTCACGCTGCGTTTTTCCTAACCACAAAAACAATTTGTAAATATAACACAATTTTTCGGAACGATGCTAGAAAAATTAAATCCTATTCTAAAGGCAATCGGTTCACTATTAAAGAAACTTGCTTATATCTACCGAGGGATCTAACACTTCTGTGGGGGACTGCATTTTGCTCCATGATGTATTTAAAAAAATGTTACACCATGGCTCTTAACCTTCCCAGAAGTTATAAAACACTGTCGTCTAATGCTTTCAAGGGAAAGGTGATTAATTTTAAAGGCAAGGTGCTTGTATAGTGTGGGAGAGTATTTATACCATAAGTTTTGACAACAATTATAAATAACTAAACTATTATTATTATGACATTATGATAATTAATATGACATTTGCCTATTTTTATATGGCTGATTGTGCAGTTTTTTCTTAAATATACGATTTTGTTTTATTATGTGTAAAATAACAAAATCGTATTAAATTTATTTATGTGTAATAAACGATATGTTTAGAATAAAGATTTTTGAGAATGCACATACATTCCTCATAATAAGTTGAACAGAAGAAAGTTAATTTTTCAAGCGTAGAAGAGAGCCGGGACCTCTTTTTTTATTTACACTTCACTGCACATAAGTAAACAAAAAATATTTCAATAAAATAGTCGCAGCTTGACTGAGTAAATAAAAATATTACTTTTTGCACCTAAAGAGATTTTTAAAATTTTGTTTAGTTTTAGTGTTTCTGTTTAATATATTTACTAATTAATAAAAGTTACGTATTTAACGGCATTTGTGATGACAGATGGGTCAAAAAGAACTTCACTTGGAATGGCCCAGTGGGAAGAATAAAGAGAGGACGACCGCCCACTAGAAACCTGGAGATGGAATAAATGAGATAGCGGGGAAAGATTGGAAAATAGTAGCGAAGATGAGAGACAAGTTGAAGAATTTGGTGGAAGTCGTGTACTATTAAATATAATAACATTAACTTAATGTAATTAATATTATAGTACTCGAATATTAGCTATTTTTATTTATTTATTATTTAACGACTTTTAGTATGTATGTGTATTTCGTGCTAAGTGTCGAAGGTGCTAAAGTAGGTTATAACAAGTGTTAAGATAAAACTGTCACAAGGTGTTTATTTAGTATCAATTAGAGCAAAACGTACTGGTACTATGTTTGCTGTATCAGCCACGATTTTCGTTACGAATCATTAAATTTCGATATCTACAATTACGATAGGTAGTTTCGTCTAGTAATCGTATACGAAAATTTCAGTTTTTTGACAGCTCTATGTCTTATAAATTGTGTAAAAGACGTATTATATTCGGAAAATGAAACAAAACAATTATACTAAAGATACAGCCAAAGATATAGGTATACAAAAAGGTTCAAACATTTACGAAACTTAGAAAGGAAAAAATTAAAAAAAATATTAAATTGCATATGTAATATGGATCTCGTTTATCGTAATTTTTCTGCCTATTAAGTCAACCGAATCGTATTGACAGTATGGATGTAATTACCAAGAAATTGTCTCTTGCTCTTCTATATAGTCTTAATTCAATTATTTCTATTATATCTATACTTAAAATCTTGTTACATTATTGATACTACTATGATAATCTGGAGGAGATTGTTAGCAATAAAGTTGCCCTTGTGTTGAATAAAACCGCTACAAACTATTTATTTCACATATTATTTATAAAAATTCAGTAATTACAAATTTAAGGTCGGCCTTTCCTACTTTTTGAATTAAAACATGACTTGAATAATTTGCTAAATGTTAGTTCAAAATGTAATTGTTTTGAATTATTTCGTAAACCTTAAATGGAAACATTTATTAATATAAGTCTAAGACTTCAAACATAAATTTTGTCCGACGTAGTGGAGATAACAAAAACAATCGCCGCAATTTAACAATAATAATAATAAAATAATCAGTATTATAGATTTGCAATGTTTCTAAACATTGTCAATATAAACCTACTATACTTTATATTAATCAATAACGATATGTCAAGCCTCTAAGCCTTCAACAAAAATATTACCGGGAATCAAACTCTGGGTATGAACGCCGTAACCTGTATTACAGAACATCGCGAGTTATAAAAAGAACGAAATCGCAGATTTATACTACCAAAAGGAAAAAATGTAAACCCATAAATCACTCACCTCCTCTTCATGCAACTCGGTCACTTTGATCCTGCTATCTTTAGTAATGTCTTGACCTGAACAGAATAATGGACATTAGACACTCGAAGTAATTCAAAAATAACACTCAATATAAACACTGACATGATTTCCAAAAGTTATTCCGTGTATTATTTGAATTACCCATAGCACACGTGATGCGCCGGCGACATTTAAATGTATACTAAGCGATACAATAGGCGTGACTCATTTGTTATCTGTTGCGAAATTCACAATTATCTCTGAAGCATGTTTACATTTTGCACTTTTTCTTCCGTTTTCTTTTCGTATTTCCGGGTAAAGTTACTTTTTTTAATTTAAGCCACTATTGTAATAATTATAACACTTAACGCGAGTAATGTAACCAAACATTAGTTAAATTTTTAATATATATTTTAGTTAATAAATTACATTGCATATTGTAATACGTCAGTTTAGAATAAATGCGCAAAACTAGTTTTTCATACACTCATACTAGTTTTTCATACACTCATACTAGTTTCATACACTCATACTAGTTTTTCATACACGAGTACAGTTATATTTAAGTGTCACTTAGATTTAAGAACCCTTAAATAAGTCACTTTTTTGTTAGCGTCGCAACTCCTATTTTTATATTAGTTATAAGCTCTTGTTTAAAGCCAGTTGACAACTAGCTTCATTTATTTAAACAAACTCCAGCAACCGCCACCGAACTTACCTTGCGTTAGAATTATTATCCACTAATGTGTATCGGAAGTATAAAAAAGTACAAATAAAAATATGTAATACTATGAAAGAAACAACTTTAGAGGCTCACGCCTATATTATATTTATTGTTTAGGAAGGTCAAAGATTTTTTATTCACTCCTGCTACCCTTTCACCAGTTCGATTGATAACAATTTGATTTATCAAATTTGTCATAATATTGACAACCCCTTTAATAAGCGCGTAAGTCGTATGAGAAACAAAAGTACGTGCACGAGTTTTCCCTAACCACGTGAAATGGTCAAGTTCCGTACCAAGTCTAGTATTGACATATTTCTTAAAAATAGCAAGTCTAAATATTTTGTTACCTTAGTATAAATACATCGTCAGATGTTTTTTTTTAAATATGACTTTATATATAGATCAGGTATATAAGATATTTATAAGATCTTACCTAATGCGTGTTTCAATTGATTATTCTCCTCGACCAGCTGTATCATTGTGTTCTTGGCAATAGCTAGATCTTCTTTCATCAGAGCATTGGTTGTTGTCAGACCTTCCACTTTTGACTGCAGGTTCGCTACCGTGGCACTAAAATATAACATTACAATGTATGTATATCACGATATAAAAATGGCGTTTACAATGTGTAAAGCAGGTTAGTATGGTTGTATTCCCCTGATCATGGATCTAAATTCTAAATAATTCTTTGCGTTCCATCATGTGTTTTTACCACCAATGGATCAATCTCATCTTCCCCGTCAAAATGCTATATCTATATATGTATATAAAATTCTCGTGTCACAAGGAGCGTTCCCATACTCCTCCGAAACAGCTGACCGATTCTTATGAAATTTTTTATGCATATTCAGTAAGTCTGAGAATCGGCTACTATCTATATTATATTTCAAACCCCTAAGTGATAAGGGGTGTCCACCCCAAAATTTTATTTTTTAGACAATTTTTTTGTTTTTATTTTTTATGATACAGCATACAAAAAAACATACAACCCCTCTACGATCAACCCCTATTTATTATTTGTTAATTAAAATGTTATGCGTTGAACTCTGAGGTTTATATAGAGAAAAATTCACAGAAAAACCTAAAAGTTTTCATTCCAGAAAACCGAACAGTCTCTGGGTATCTTAGCATAGCATAATTTTCCATGTTAGTATGTACTAAAAAGGTAGGCTAAGTAAAATCACATTAAGGAGAAACGAAGTTCGCGGGGGCAGCTAGTTTCTATATTAAAACAACTTGTAGCAATAACGTGTTAAGGCTATAGAAACGGGGCCTAAGGTAATGATTACTCACCAGATTTTTTTTAATAGTACAGGGGGCAAAAGGGCAGGAGGCTTACCATATGTTAAATGATACCCCATATGGTAAGCCTCCTAAGTGGGGTGGGGGGTACCCCATGGACACTGCTAGACGGCTCGCCGGCCTTATCGAATTTTTAGGAATTGGAACGCTATTATCTCGAAGGACGGTAAGTCGAATTGGTTAAATTGTGGAATAGGAGAATTCAATTCCTTTAAAATGAAACAAAACCTGGCGCAGTGTAACTTAATAGTTTCACAAAACGTTTGCGGAGTCAGGAAATTAAACTCTTCTGATAGAATACGTTTATCAAAACATTGTTGCAAAATGTTTTCAATAAAGTGCCAATTCAATTTCGAGGAACACTATATAACTGCCATATAGGTATAAAAATATTATTAAATCATAGAAAATTACAATACTTATGTATCTAGCGCGACTATATATATAAAGACTTGAAAGTTGAGTACCTACTTTAAAATGGTAGGATTGATTTATTTATTTAACACTTTATTGATAATCATTAAAGTAAAAAAAAAACCAAAAAGGCTTGTTGAAGGATGTGTCCAATGTTTGGGGGGTGTATAAGTGCTGAAATTTATTCGATTTGATTATAATGCGTTGAGCATTTATTAAAGCAGTTTTTGCACAACCACTGATGCATACTGGAAAGGCCGGTAACGCACTTGCGAGCTCTCTGGCAATGTCAGTGTCTATTGGCGGCGGTTTCATTTAACATCAGATGAGCCTCCTGCCCGTTTGCCCCGTTACAAAAAAAAATGATACTAACATACTCTATCAGGCTCTTGTGTGTATGAGGCTACAACCTCTTTAGGTTTGGGCCTCAGATTTCTGAATCTGTTTCATGATCATTTTTAAATCTAATAGGGAAGTAGGTGATCAGTCTTCTGTGCCTGACTCACGCCGTCGACTTTTTGGGTCTAAGACGTGTCGGTTTCCTTCACCGTTCGAGCGAATGTTAAATGCGCACATAGAAAGAGAGTCCATTGGTGCACAGCCGGGGATCGAACCTACGACCTCAGGGATGAGAGTCGCACGCTGAAGCCACTAGGCCAACACTGCTCCTCGAGGTGTTCGCAACTCCACTTAAACTATGAGGTATAGATGTCTATTAAGTGGAGTCTCACTTAGCGCTAAGTGAGACTCTGAATCCGACTCTAGCACTGCTCAGAATATTACAGAGCATACCTAAGGTTCTCCTTTACGTCATAATAAAGTAAAAACTAGGTTATTACCCTTAGCAAACATTATATTTAATATATTTGTATGGACGGAAAGTCGTGGCGATAAAGCTTTGTACTATCGTGACGCATTAGATGCTTTCGTGACTTCAATTATAAACAACAGAGCTCTGCGGTCGAATTGTACAATTAGCATTTCATTATGGACCGTACTTCCGATGAATTAACGCGATAATTTCAACTATTTTTATTTTGTGAATTTAACATTGATTTTATTTAGTCGTACTACACCCGTCAATTGTTGCTGTATAGCAAAAACTAGTCACAGGAATGTATGTATTTAGTCATTTCATATTACACGTCATTTAAAATAATAATGTATTTATCCATATTGGTATATACATTTGAGAGATCTAAATTTACTAAGAGTTCCCAAATCAGGAGCGTAGAGCGAGATGAGCTAACGACTCTGCCGCTCTTTAATCGCCAAGTTTAGTTGTACTTGGAAATTGTTAGCAACCGATACGCTATGCTTCACTTGACATATTGAAACAATATCTACATTAACGTCCAAACAAATTTCATTAAACGTGAAGGCATTTCTAAATTAATAATTTTATCACTTTGTTATAACAATGACATACGAATGAAGCGCGTCATCATTTCGCCTTTCGTGTTACTCACTCGTTTGTTTTAAGGTGGGCACTGACCAAAGTTACGAGGTGTAATGTAGCATTCGCATCGAGCGTGTTACGCATCGAGCATGTTACGCTGTGTTCTAAAATCGGCGTAACATGCTCGTCAAAACTTTGTGCTCCACTTTCGCCGCCAGTGTTCACGAGATGTGATAGTGATAATGTTGATATCTTTCATTCTATTTAATTATTGTTTCATCCAAATTAAGAAGAAGAAAAAATGTTACTGGACATAAAACTTATTTAAAAACACAGGCGTATGAGGTGGTTTGTTATTGATTGCAATATTAAAATCCAAATGATTACTGGACAGTATAAAAACTTTGTACGCAGGTCTCGATTTTGAAGAACTGTTGAATTTAATTGGACCAAAAGTACTTAAAAAAGACACAATTTATAGAAAATCATAATCATGATCACTCGCGACGTGCGACGCGTAATTACTGAACCGCGTAATAGTCAAAGGATTCGCCAAAAAAACCGACAGCCGGGTGGAGCACTCAAAGCGAGCAACGAGCGGCTCGTTGCTCGCTGGTTTCCCCGTAACACGCCGTACTGACTGCACGTATGCTCGCTGTGTAACGTGTTACATTACACCTCGTAACGTTGGTCAGTTCCCACCTTTAAGGGATACCCCGAAGTTACAGTTTGACTTTTTTTTCATAAGTTTATATAATACCTATTTTTTTAAAGAACAGGGGCAAACGGGCAGGAGGCTCACCTTATATTAAGTGATACCGTCGCCAGTCACATTGGCAGAAAACTCGCAAGTGCCGGCCTTTACCAATTGGTACGCTCTTTTCTAGTTACCTTAATCGAATTGACTATTTACTTAATAAAGAAAATTTTTTTTTTTGGTTCTGAAATACTTGTGTGTATTGGTTGGTGTAGTGGGCAGCTGGTTTATCTTATTTATATATTTAGATCTTATTTTTCTATGCCGATCACTTTTTTAGTAATGTTTTACTAATCTGGCTCAGATATCAATTGCCTGGTATTTTTTTATCTATGTACTGTAAAATTACTCACTTAAGGTGTCGATTCAGCTCCTCAATATAATTCTTCTGATCCAGCATCGTATTGATATGTCGTTGCTTGGGCTCGTTATTTCCATTGTTACCGTTATTTGCGAGATCGTGGGAGGAGCTACTCCCGCGCAGGTATAGAGAGAAGTCGATCACACCTTGCTGACTGTCTAAATCTTCTTCCTGTATTAAATATTTTTAGAAATTACTGTGAATAATTTGTAAAATTGATAACCTCCTCTTTATGTTTTTTAAGTCGGTTAAAAGTAGTTGAATTTATCGTATTAGTTGGTTATGTTAATTTTATAAGTCAACATGCATATATATTTTATCCAATGTATATAGCAAAATCTCAATCAAATCAGCTCATCCAAAATTATTCAACTTTAACTTTTCTTTAACTAGGGTTGCCTGGAAGAGATCGCTTGCGATAAGACCGTTGCACCATGTTTTAAGTTTATTGCTTTATTTATTTCTTTTTTATGTGTAAATAAATAAATAATTTCGTAAAATATTAAAGGTACATCAAATACTAAAGAAATGGGTTACAAGACTGACCTTGACACACAAATTGCAGTCAACGACATTTAAACCAACAAGTAGACCCGTTATGATGACCGCCTCCTCATTCAGCATCAGGGCGTGGGGTTCAAAGTATTCCTCCAATGTTTCTTCTCGGCGCTCCAGTAGTATTCTTAGGTAATCGGCAAGTCTCTTCTGCATCAGTGCCAAGCGAAGCCAAGCTCTGGCGCGTCCCATAGCCGTTCTACACACACGTTATTGTAATTAAATAGCATTGTTTTTCTATGATGATCTATTTAGGCTTCCAAGCAAGTGTCGCTAATTTCGTAAATGTTTGTATGCCCACCAATTTATCCAAAACTAAAAGTTTCCGATTTCAGTAATTTACGAGTTCATTAGGATATTTTTTTAAATTGTAACAATTATAGTATTTAAAAATTCGAAACTTACTTAACGGTGGGCAAGTCTCGCACACTTGCTGTAATATCTGCCGCCTCAGGAGAGTACTTCTCAACCATTTGCAAGATGTCCCATAGCTCCTTCTTCGGCCCGAGTAGTCCCTATATGATAACAAAATAATAATAGTAAGCCTTTATTCATCCATATTTTAATGACATACATTTAACAAAAATACATATAAATACAATTTTAACTACTCTAAGATGCGGCCCCTGTCCGGGAGAAGGCATCCTCCAACTTTTTCTACCCTAATTTATTTTGTGCCATCGTCATCCAATTTCTTCCAGCTATATGATATCAATATATAATTACATAAATTTTAAGATTGTCTTATACGAAACACAGTGAATAATTTTCAGACGATCGCGACCTAGAATATTTGCAATTTTTTTTGATAGAAAATTTACTTTACCAACGTATGTTTCTCATATTTCTACGAAATTCTATCCCTATTATTGCAGTTCTGCATAATCACAAACAAATGTTTGGTATAGTTTGTCAACAGTTAAGAATAGTCTGCAATAATAAAACTAACTCGCGACGTCAACAAGTTATAAATAGCCTCACCTTTGCTGACATAACATTTATAACATGTACCTCGGTAGACGGTAACTGTAATGCATGTTATGGGAAATATACCTTTTTAGGTTTGAGGCCGTGACGCATGACATGCTCGAGAACAATGAAGAAGTGATGTAGCGGTAAGTGGTCGCTGTCGAGCATCCGGCCATAGCGGAGAGATTGTTCAATCAATTCCTTTACAATCAGCTTGGAGATGTTCACGAGATTGCTACGTTCTATCACCACTGGATCACGAGCTAAAACATATTTAATTTCATAAACGGCACACCATTTAAAAAACTATAAGTGTCTCGAATTGTGATGGGAGCGTAAAAATCGATGCATTGACGGTGCGAGTTGACATGCGAATAAAACATGCATCTATTATCGCATTTTTGCGCTAGTCACTACGTATCAAACGTAGCAACAAAGATTTACCCATCAATGAATGCATAGGATCGTCCGGAGAAGTGATCGCACCATTATCAGAGGGTCGGATAAAGGAATCCTGCATCTCCATGTCATGTAGCTCCTTCAGACACAGCCATTCACCATCTACTGACACGCGGAAGTTGCATAGGTATATGGTATCCTGAGCTCCAGCCATTTCGGCATCAGAATTCCCGTCGCCTTCGATGGAAGACGGGATCGCCAACTCCTGAACGGGTTCTACCCCACGGACAGCGGCAAGAGAACGCATAATAGAGCAGCAAATAAACTTTGAAGCGAAAATACAAACACTGGTCTATAAATTTTGATTATAACCCTGACTGCATGTTAACTAAGCCAAGAGAAAATATTTAGGATTAATGTTAAGATACGCGCAATGTGATTCTTGTAGAGACAACATACAAATGGTTTTTCCAGCAAGTTCAGTGAATATTGATTTTCCGGCGACCGCGGCGGAAACGGAAAAATCAATACTCTACCGACGAGCTGCCATCTCTAGGGAAAGCGGGAAACTTACAGGATGTGTGAAACCTGTGTTTTTACGTCCAGTTCCTACAGATGACACGTTTCCTTATTTTAGGTCTATGTAAATTGGCAGTATTACCATGAAGAAAATTGTATATATTATTAAAATGGCTATTAAACTTAATTAAAATGACTATTAGTATGTTTAGGAAACCAGTTGCGGATATCACTATGGGGTTTTTCATTAGAATACAAATCTGTATTGTCTGTGTGTGTCGCGGTGTTCGTAACTAGACTCTTCGAAACGGTTTGACCCATTTTATTAACTTTTTATGTATCCTTGAGTAATAAAGAGTTTAACTCCAAAATAATTTTCAGCTTTGTTTTTTATTAGCAATATTAGTAGGTACTGTTAAAAACTTCAACTCTCAGAGGTCCAAAACTGATCAATTATAAATCAAGTGAGCAGTGCTGGCTTAGCTTTGGGACATGGCGTTCGAAACATGGCAAACCAATGGATTTTTTTCTCTCAATATGTTCAATTAACACTTGCTCCTATGATGAATAAAAACGGTTTGGGGAAACAACTTGTCTCAAATCCAAGAATTGATGATATGATTATTAGGTTAAGCAATATTTGTTACTTATTTAAAGTAAGGTGTAAGCTGCAATGGCAAGAGGGAAGTTATTCTGTAGTACCTTCTTTAAGTTGAAATTCGAAAAATAAATTGACAGGGGATTCTCAATAATTTGACACTTACTAATTTGTACCTTTCAATATTATTTTTATTTCAAAAAATACTTGTTAAATTGAATAAAATCAATGTTCATTGTTTGCCTCGGTAATTTGAAGTGCAAGGAATATCTTGCTCACCAAGAATCAATCATTTGAAGTCTAGACTTCCCTACTCACTATAATTTGGAGTGTTTATCATGCACAGACTTGTCAATAACAGTATACATAGATAAAATATATATAAGTCATGTTAATGTTTGATGACATTATAGCAATAATTCTTTTTAAATAAAAATTTGTAAATAATTGTATTTCATTGTTAATACATAATAATAATATAGAAATAATAAATCTCAAATTTTGATAACTCCTATTTACTTGAGTCCCTCCTCCACCATTGTGGTTATTTAAATCTTTGTTACTTTGACCTATTGGAAAATTGAAATTTATCTCTTGTTTTTTGAGTTTCAAATAAAGCAATAGTCTAAACACTACTAATTGAAAACAATTTTTTTCTCAATTTAATAAGAGGTTCGAATGTTGTCAAAACATATTACATTCTTTATTTCACATATTTTAAGACACTATTTGAGATTGCAATATTTCAAAAATATCTATCTTGTAATATTGGAAACTGTAAAGAGCTGTGATCAAATCAATATCAATTTAAAAAGGGGAATTATTTAGAAATATATGATTATGAAATGGTTGCTCTACTAGTTTTAAATATTTGACTATTAATAAACACATATTTGATATATAATATTGTATTTACAGAATTTGGTATATATGGGTTTAGTATTGACCAATGAATTCATACAATAAATTAAGAAAGATGTAATTACATTGTGTTGAAATTTAACAGCAAAAAACAGATAGTCATATGTTTTATCAATATGTAAAAAAATTGATAAGGCACTAAAATTGTAAGCAATATTCTCTTTGTAATTACATGCACAGATAATGATTGACATTGTGTATATGGAATGGATAACATGTAATATAAATACTCAGAGTTCAACATTCACAATAAACAATATGGGATGTTGATGACACTTGACTGGATTCATTCCATGCTTCTAACAATTTTTGATTAAAAACCCTAGAACCGGTAAATGGAATATATTATTCCTTAAATAAGAAGTAGTATTGCAATAGTACTTACTTTTTGTGGTGTAGAAATAAGATTTTTCTGGCCTGGATAACAACATTTCCGGCCATCTTTCGGTTTTCGATGAAGATCTTGATGGTGAACGCTCTGGTTTTGGATTTTTAAGGGACGATACTGACGCCGTTGGAGATCCCTCAGAGTTGTCTTGGGAGGAAGCAGAAGCCATTATTATCTATTTACTAATTCACAAATCATTTCTACAAGAGAAAACTCTATAAATAATACGAAAGTGTCCTTGTTTTCGCTTCTTGCTGATTTTATAATAAAGTAGTTTGAAACTTGAATTTGTTATCATTTATCAGTTGTCATTTGTCACTTTGACAATTAGCTTTACTTTATTATATGCTGACGTTGTTAAAACACAAGACATCAACTCATTCATAATTATCTGTGAATTTTTAACTGACCAGAAAATCTCAAGGAGCTCTCGAGGAGTGAGAACGTCGGTTACTTCTGTGATATATAAGTCGGTTATCGAAAGCTGGCGCGTTCACAGTACTCACACTAATGCAATTTCACTATACAGTATGTTTAAAAATATGACTATTTTGCCAAGTTATATTTAGTGTACTCTGGTTTTAGTAAGGTTGGTTGTGTTGTAAATAAATAAAAATGTGTCAAATACATATAAATATTATGGAGTGGAGTAAGGGTGGATCCAAAAGTTCTTAGCCCAAACAAGAACGTAAAGGAGTAGTTTGTGTAAATAATTTTTCATTTTTACACATAAGCTCCATCTAGCTCAACACACTTCACTTTTACTTCACTAACAAACAATTCTTTCAATACTCCTTTTAGAAATACCAGTCGCATCTGATGTCAAATTAAAAATTTTTTTTTTTAATTAAACTGTTTTCATTAAGATGCTTAAAATAATTAAAAAACATTGTACACTATTTCACGAGATTGTCCTGTTAATGTTTAGTCGGAATATATTTCATAAGACATTTTTTTCTAAGTATTCTAACCTCCAACCAAATAAGTAAACAATCACAGACAAAATAATAATGAGAAAAAAGATCAACATGTATTTATAAACAGTAGCAAAGGCAAAACAATAACTGTCTCTTTTATACTCATAAGCTTGACCGAGCGCGAGAGAGACGGACAGTCTTTTCATGATGCATATTCAGTGTGACGTCACGCCTCGCGCGTATTCACAGACACTACACAAGCACAAAGTATTAATGTGTTGAAGCCGCCAGCTTTCGATAACATACCAATACCAGAATTAACTTTCACGAACGTTGAACATGAATTGTTACTCCGTATTTAAATATAGAACCTTTGATAAAAATAAAGTAGAACAAACTGATTTTTTTTGACATTACTGGCCAAACATTATGTTTTACAAATATTAATATTATTGTGGCAAGAAAATTGATTATAAAAGAATATTTTAATTGAATAAAATAATTTATTTATCGATATTCGCTACAAGAAGTAGATATTCATAAAACTATGAATTTACAATGCAGACCGGTGTACGAGTCGTTAAGAGTGTTAATATTTAATGGATTATCCCCAACTGGCAAGTTAATTATAGCTAAGATTATGTCTGGGATAGTATTTGGGAAGGCACAGTTGGTCGACCTTCATATTATTGTTTATTCGAATGAAATTAATATAGCTGAAGGATTGAAGAATGAGGTGGTAGCATGTGCATTTCCCTGTATTAATTCAATCAAAGTTTCTTCAGATTTACCAAGGTATAATCAATAATAACTATATAAAATCCTTTCAATAAAATTGTTAGTAACCCATTTTGACGAAATCTAGCAAATATTTAATCACGTTTAAAAACTTATAGTGTCTCTCTCACCCACCTTAGCTGTCACATCACAGCAAAGATGACGCAACAGTCCTTTGGACTGCGCCGATACTCTGTAACTCCCAATAGTGGTAGTAATTGCGATCAAGACTTCATTGTACAGTTTGTTCCACGCGAACTTTGCGAACGGTATCGTTTTGGCTATATGAATTTATATTGTAACGACACTTGTCGACATATTATGCTGTAATATAGGCCACAGATCACATTTACTTTCATTCTCGGGTCAAGGATATTAGGTAGATATTAATAATACAATGACAGGTGAAATTGGTGGAAACTATCATATATTCCTTAAATGTATTAATTATTTTGGCGAGTTGCAAATCCTATTACGCTTTAAGTCTTACGGTATGAGGTAGAGCTTGCTATTGTTTTAGCGTTGCAGACGGTGACGTGTTTTGTTTCATAACAAACTTCCCGAATCCAAATTCGTTTGATTTCAATAATGAGCCATCAGAGGAAGTTTTTGACACGTTGTATCTTATAACAAAATTAGCTAATAATTTTATATGGCCAGAAGACACGGAAGATGAAGGAAAGCAAGGAAAAAACAAAGAAAAGCAAAATAAAACAAAAAGGAAACCAATTTTTGTTACTGATGGTCTTATTGCTATTGACATTTTAAATTCGTTGTCAAAGAATATGCCGCCAGATGTGTTTTATTGCTCAACCCCAATAACCGCAATCGGAAAGTCGATTCTAGCTGAGTATCTAAATGTAACAGCTTTTTATTCGATAGAAACATACACAAATAAAATTTTCACGCTCTTAATTTTCGCACTCTTGCAAATGCTAATCAAATATAAATTTTTGTTTGTTAAAAAAAATATTTTAAGTCAAAATTCCTGTATACGCACGTTTCCAATTTAAAAAAACCTATGTTTAGTCTATACTTTAAGGTCCACTGCAACGTGATTAACAAAGTACTGGTATGGGCAGCCAACGACGAAACATTTCACATCGAAGTTAAAAAACCTTTCGTTATTCACGAGGAAAGTGACTCGCAATGTGACTCTGGATTACTCGCTAAAGACTTCTTGGAAT